TCCCTCGTACACAGCCAGCTCTCGACGGCTGATCGCTTCAAGCGTGTGTGGTTCATCGGACGTGCCACTGCTGTCCGTCGTGAGCTGTCTGTTTTTTCTCGCTTTGATGTTTCCACTTTTTTGTTCCTTTATTATGAAAATCGAATGAGGGTGGCCCATGGGCAATGAGGGCCACCATGAACTTTGTTTTATTGCCGCGTGACCGCGTGTCTACAAATTATGATTGAGGGTCGGAGAGCGCCGTGCCCCCGTCAATGTTTCCTCGCGAGTCTCCGGTGTTGCGCGAGACATTCCGCAGCAGCTTCGGCAGTTTGTCAACTGCATCATTTCCGTCACGGGAGATGCTGCGCTAATTCTCTCTCCCACCTGGTGCTGCCACAGTGCAATTTCGGCCGTGGCAATCGGTAGAGCTGCGGGTTTTTTTCATGTAGACGTTCCTGGTGCCATGTGGTGTTTGCCGTGGTTTTGTGCCGCCGCCGTCGCCGCTTGATCCGTTTTTATCGGGAAGAGTTTTTGTGGTCTGGTGCGGTCACGTGGCCAGCAAGAGATTAAACTAGACTATTTTTTATTTTACCAGGTAAGACCAGCTGGGCTATATAACTCATTGTATAAGAAGCGACCCGGCCACAAATGATTGCTCTGAGAAGTGGCTTATCACGTGGAAATGTATAGCAGCCAGATTTAAATGTGGAGGGGGAAACCGAAGGACCCGGAGAAAAATCCACACGACCATGGGGAGAGACATGTCGAGGCGTCAGGATTGGGATCAAACCCACAATCTCCTGTACACCAAGCGAAAGAGAACATCTCGCCATCGGGGCACCCACTCGTCTGCCCACCCCCCCCCCCCCTCGGATGATGTTGGGGTAGGTGCCTACAATGTAAGAGTAGAAGTCGCAGCCTTTGGGGTCATGCACAGGGCACGGCTGGGAGGGGCGCACAAACCTGCTCCTGAGACAGACTCTGCTTTATTCCCGATGGCCGTGGACCACCGTTTGAGCGAAAAGTGTGGCTCCACTGGGGTCGATATTGGCAGCGGTGGCGTGTGACTGCTTCAAACCACAGCGTCCCACACGCGAGACTGTAACAGGCGGCTGGTGGCGGTGGCGGAACTGCCCTGGCAGCGGCCTTGGCAAACTATCCCAAAATAAACAAACATGCCACAAAGGGCAAATGTGTGCAACACAGTGCAGTCAAAGAGATTTAAATTCCAAACACTAGCGCCGAAACTTCCTGTTGGCTTTTCCAACTATTAAGATTTTTTGAGAGTAAGTTTTTCCCCTTTTATTCAACGGTTTTACTTAACTTAATTCCTCTGTTTGTCGTGGTCAAATCTTGTAATAAAAATGTAGTCCACTTCCCATTGTCCAATCAATTCCACATTTTGCACACGTACTCAGATCCGGTGACTATGCATGCCTGTATCAAAATCGGCATCAATTAATCAACTAATTCGCTACTTTAAAGCAATTAACATTTTGTATGGGCGCCTTATTATTTATATTTGTGTAGGTAAAAAACGCCGCGGTCCCTAAACTAGAATCGGCTCGTACAAAAATCAGGCACCACGTGTCTCAGTCGCCATTGACGAACTTCTCAGACCGTGAGTTAAACGAAGTTAATAAAAGCGTTGTTTTAAAAATAACTTATTAAAAGGAGTTTATCTGGCAAGAAAACAGGTGGTAAGTTGTTAAAACACCAAACTGAAACCTTTTTACAAGGAATCCATGTCTGCATTAACCACAATGATTGTGGTCAAAATGCAAACAAAAACGTACTCTGATAATATATGCATTGTCTTTGAAACTGATTGGTCCACACCAGAGACAGCTTTTTTTGAGCCTAGTCTCAAAACGGTGTTTGACCAGAGGATGCCGAAAGGCGTACAGCACAAAGACAATGCATTATCAGAGTAATGAGAGCTCGGGGTGAGCAACTACATCATGGGATCTCCTTTGCCAGGCAAAAAAAAGGGGAAAAACCTATTCTCATATTTTGGTACTGGGTAACAACTCAAGAGGGCAGGATTGTCTCATTTGCAAGAGGTGACCCGAAAGTTGTTCTGGTTATTGATCATACTTCACTATGCTGGTCAAGCTGCTGGGTCCATGCACGTGTGTGTGTGTTGAAGTGCTTTCGCACCATACGTAGGCAACTGCTCATCGGAGGTGCAGGGGGAAGGACAGCAAACTAAACACAAAGCAGTTCTTAAGGCATGAGTTGTCATAATCTAGGTTAAAAAAAAAGTCCACAGCTCCAGTGGCTTCCTAATATCGGAAGGAAAGTGTTCCCGACGGCTGCAGAAGCGCATCTGAAAGCGCGCGATGTCTTGACCGTCTTTGTTCGATGGTTGGCCAAAAGCCGCTGCAAGGATGAGCGGGGTACGTGTAATTGTTTATGTTCCATTGACGAGATCAGAAAGGTGGGGGTTTGTGAAGACGGGCAATGTAGAAGTAAAGTAGAACAGTGGATTTTTGCAAATCGTACACTAATTGTATGCTATGCTATTAAAAAAACATTTTTATCTCCCCAGGAAAGCCTCGCCCGAGTCTAAATTATTTTTCGGTGAGGTGTTTGGGAGGAAATCGGGAGGACTCTGATGGGGGGGAGGGGGGAAACCCACTGTGTTCACGAGGTTAGGGTTACGAGTCAAACACTCAACGCTGCCATCTTTCCCTGTAGCCCCATGCCTGCTGCAGACTGGCAAGCCCTGGTGGTCTCTCGTGCATGTACTGACCAACCCCCGAAACCAACGGCACCAGAAGATCTAAATCCATTCTGGAATGGAATTGTGAATCCAGAAATTTTGACCGGACGTCAAATTTTACGGCACGCTCGGTTGTCCGCTGGCTCATGTCGGGGGTTCATCATGGAGATGGAGCCACGGGGGTCGGCTCATGTGTGGGTGCTGGGTGGATGGTTACAGCGTGGGACCGTGTGGGTTGGCGACGGCCTTCATCTAGCAGTGGATTTGTTGACGGCCGCTGCTGATGACGACGACGATGATGATTATGATGGTTGATGGCCGTCGTTGAAAGCTGGGTAGGTAGGGGGTGTGGTGCTCTGCAGCCTGGAGATGAAGCCATGCGCTGAGGAATTGGAAGCTGCCGAAGGAGTTTGTTTTAGATACGTTTCACTTTCGTCCTGTTATTGCATCGACGGCTAAATTTAAGGAAGAATCTGATGGCGGTGGAAGTGAGGGGGGGCGGGGGTGTTTGGGATGTGTGAACGTGACGTTTGAGGAAGAGGTGGCCCACGGCCCTTGCGAGTTGAGCAGTGGCTTAGTAACGACGTTATCAGCTCGGGAGGGGGGGGGTTCGGCAATCTGTCAGATGGGGCCGCGATATTTTATTCGTCTTGCACGGTCGCACCGAGGCTATGATTTATCGCGACGACTCTTGCCTAATCGCATCATTATGCTCACGGTCGTGAACATTTAACGCTGTGGGGGCGCTCCGTCTTCGGAGAACGCAGCCGCTGCAGCTCAGGAGTAGCTCTTGGCAATATAATTGACATGATAATTGTTTTTTTTACCCTTTTATCTGGCAACAAAACTGACACCTTTTTTTGCGAGGAGTCATGTTTGCATAGACCACAATACCTGCAGTCATAATGCAAACAAAAACACAACTCTGATAATGTATGCACTGTCCTTGAAGTTGATTGGTCCACACCCGAGACAGCTTTCCTTAGAGCCTAGTCTCACGTGGGTTGGACCAGATGACGCCAAAAGGCGCACAACTCAAAGACAATGCACCATCAGAGTATGAGAGCTCGGGGTAAGCATTTACACCATTGGTACCTCATTTGCCAGTAAAAAAAAATATGATAATTGTTTTTTTACCCTTTTATCTGGCAACAAAACTGACAACCTTTTTTTACGAGGAGTCAAAAGGTGTCAGTTTTGTTGCCAGATAAAAGGGTAAAAAACCAATTATATATTTTTTTACTGGCAAATGAGGTACCAATGGTGAATATAATTGACGTGTATCTAATCAAATAAATATCCCAAAAACGGAGCTCTACGTCGAATGTTCTTTTACTCTCGCTACAGAGTGGTTGTCAAGGGGGCCCCAACTCATAGCTTTGACCAGCGGGTGGGGGGGCCAAGGCTCTCCCTACCCTCACGCTCGTTACACTGCTGGAGTCGAGTCAAACTCAATGTGGCTCTCTGCTCGCTCAAACAACATTCTGATGGGTTTCGGATATTTCGGCAGCTCCTGGGCCAGTTGAGGGAAATTCCACGCTCCTATGGTGGGACCCTGCCTTGATTTTTATGAAATGATCACTGTTGGCTTGGTACAAAATTGTGTTCATTGTAGTGTATGGCCTCGGTGGGCTGTGGATTGCAGAAATAGCTACGGACTCTTGACTGTCTGTGCTGAGCTTTGCTTGATCTGCACGTATTCTGTGACCTGTCCGTGCCATGTGAACTGTGCATGGGACTTCTGGCAAAAATTATCCCCCAGTAGAGCCTTAACAGTGTTGGGGCAAGTGATTGTTAGCGAGCACCAAATGAAAGACCTCAACAACAACCGAAATTCGCCACCAAGTGGTGGTGACATCACCATGGTGCTTGTGCCAGGCTATGGTCATTTTAAGGCCACAAAGTGTCGAATGCCTGCTGGCAGGAGGTCACCGGACAGACCCAGGTGCCATGTGATGACTGAGATGACTGACCAATGCACCACCTGTGCCCCCTAGCCGCCCGGCGCTCCGCTCGTTGTGAGTATCGCTCCTCTGCCTTCTATTGTTGTAGGAGGGCGGCTACCTCCAACTGCCCAGTAGCATCCTTCACGAGCCTCATCCACAGAGGCCGATCTTGACACCACTGGTACTGGTCACGTGACTTTCACGCAGTACGAGACCTCTGAGGCCACGTGAGCCATGCACGTGCCGCGTGACGTGCACCGTGCGTGACCTCTCGCGCCCTCTGTGACCTCTAGCGCACTCCGTAACCTCTTGCGCTCCCCTTGACCGCTCGCTCTGTCTCCGCGCAGGACTGGCGTTTGTGGCGGTCGGGGCATCCGGGCGGGGTGCGTCGCGCTTCGCCAGGGACGTGAGCCCCCTGCCCAACGCGGCGTCGGCATCGCAGCCGTTGAGCACCGGAGTCAACGACGTGGACGACGACAACGACGACCCCTGGGGTGGCGAGAGTCAGGACGGCGCCGATAACGGCACCGCTCACTTTGAGGTACTGGACATGTGGGGTGGGGTGGGGGAAGAGCTTTTTTAGCTCATCGGATACCTCCTGATATCAAATATTGCGATTTGTTTTTTTATTTCTGTATGGCGGCCGCTCGGACCCTTGCGACAGAAGCGCCGCCGATGGTAAACAATGTGGTTTCCAAGAGTGACCAGCGGGCACGGACAAATTACTTTACACGCGCAGTGTCTGTTAGTTTTTTTTAATTCGCTTGCAGTTACTCGCAGCCAGTTGATTTACCTCACAATTGGTTAAAATATCGATGTTCGTTATTCATACTTTTTTTTCTCAACTGTGTCGGGTCAAGCAAGAAGGGGGGGAGGGGATACATACTCGGTTGAAATAAAATTCAACAAGAGGGGTACGGTAGTTGCCAATAAGTAATATAAAAAAATACTTTTTTTAAATCTCGCTTTAATCAAATGTACCGTACTAGTAATAGCAGAACTCCACGACTCCAGGAAGTGGCCCCGAGGCTTGCCATAACATAAGGGGCCGTGGTGATTTACAGCCAACGTGAGTTGAGCGTGGACAATTAGAGCCAAGGCGAAACATAACATATAACAAAGATGGTTTAAAAATATTTATTTTTTATTTTTAATGATAGAATATAGTATTGTCATCGGTAAGACATGAGTATACGAAGTTTGCAGTCGATACCACATTGGGAAGTGTTAAAATTGAGTTACAAGATTTGAGGATACAACAACAACGACAACAACAGCGAGTTTAATAAAAGCGTGTACAAAACCACTGATGAAGGGCTGATTTGTGAAATAGATTGTTACCTGGGCATGGTGCGTCAAACATTGAGCCCTACTTCTTATGGGAAAAAAACCCGTCTGCTTAAATTGATGAGGAGGGCACAGTTTGCTCGAATAAAAACGCCACTGTGTCGGATGTACCTGGGCAAGCAAACATTGGAATCCGCGCTAGCCAGGCGATGGTGCCATTTTAGTTTTGTGGTGTGCGTTGAACCGTCGACCACCATGAATGAACCAGATTTTGTTTTAAACCGTAGACAATTGCCTTCCAATTGGACAAGCCACCGCATTACCATTTGGATCATTTTGCAATGTTCCCTGCGAGTTGGCTTAATTTTTTAGAACTGCTCATTCCGTGAACTCAAAACCGAGCTTGCGTGGTTTTAACGGTGAAATTCTGATGGGGAGGTGGTGGGGAGCCTTGGCTTGGCAGTCCCTGAGGATGACGGATTAAGAGCCTTTTTATCGTCATTGCTATTAGCATGCCCCCTTGCCTGCTCATTGTCACTTACCACAAGCATGGGATTTCATTAACAATGAAACGTTGCAATGCTGCTCCTTTTAATGCAGCTGCTAGAAAAGAAAACTGCAAACTCGTTAAGTAACAAAAACAACCTGTGGATTATTCGGTGATGGGAATCGCAGTCGGGGTAGAATAGAACCTGCATTTAACAGGCGGCGTATTGTGACCTGCGTTCATTTCAGTTTGGTGACACAGCGCCGCTGCCTGGCACAGGCAAAACCACTCGTCCAAGTGGGGATTTTTTATTTTTAATGAGAAATTCATTTTTTTTTGCTTTAAGCTGAACATATGTTAAGTTGAAACAGCAGGAAATGCTTTCCTTGTCTTTGTACAGTCTGCAGAGCTCAAACACACATGCCTTTTTTGGGGGAGGGGTGTGGGGGGGGGGAGCGAGGCCTCGGCAAAAGGCTCAGGAAGGCTCGCGACCCGAACTCGGAGCCAAGAGAAACAGAGATGTTTGTACTGCTGGGACTGAAACCCCAATATTATGGACGTTTCAACACATTCCTCGGCTCTACATTACGTGTTTATGCGTGGCGTTTTTTTAGATGTGTAGTGATCGTGGCAATATTTATGAGCTTATAAATAGTAAACACTGCAGGCATGAAATGCGTGGATTATATTCCGCTTTCTTTTTTTACGCTGAATAACTACATTTATTTCGGTTCTTGTTTTTTGGGGTTTAAATTGGAAGTCTAAAGATTCTTGTAATAATTATGTGTTTGCCGTGCGTTTTAATGACATTGACTCTCAAGCGAACATTAACAAGCCCTTCTGAAGCCTAATTTTTCCATGTACCCGTGTGAGTGGAGACCGTTTAAATCGAACTCTGTAGTGTTGGGTGGAGCGGTGGCACAGTGCTTTACACACCACAGTACCTTGCCGATCTCAGCAAGGAGAATATCAAAGTTCATTTATTAGGTATAGCCCTGTGAGCCATTCGGCTCTTGAATTGGGTGCAACTGCAACAAACAAAAACATGAATGAGAAAACATCTTAAAGTGACAATGTGCAAACAGAAAATCCAAGAAAAGACAGCAAAATATTGCAGAAAAAGCACCGTACACCAACACTGTGCAAAAATCCCAGTGGGATGCAAGTCAAACAACAACAACAACAACCACAAGACAACTTAGATTAAGGCCATCAGTCTAACTCTGTACTACAACAAACAAACATGGCCAAACCAATACACTTTTCGAAAATCACCAAAATAAAGCCATAAAAGCAATGAAACAGTGGTCATAGGAACTGTGACCGAATTTTCACAATAAACGATGTGAACAACATGTACTACCAAACTCTGCAGCCATAGCTGGCTGCATGAAGTCACTCCACAATAGTAGGAGCATCAGTCGGAGTATGAACCATCGCGTGAACTCCGGTCATCCTCGCAGCGGCTTTTGGCTGGCCATCGGACAAAGACGGTCACTGCATCGCACTCTTTCAGATACACTTCCGTGGCCGCCTGGAATGCTTTTCCTTCTAATATTTGGAAACCTTTGTCCTTGGCGTGCTTGGCTATGTACAGTGGTGAGAGTTTTAATAAAATACGCACACATACATACAATGGCGCAATGAACTTTGGCGAGCCGAGTTAAATTTTGGGCCACAGCTAACATTGTGGGGGAGGGGAAGCCTTCATCCGGCAGAAGATTGAAAATTTTCCATACATTAAGCGGTCACTCGAAGCGACCTCAAAAGCAGTTTTCAGTGATATCCTCCTATTCCTCCTACCTGCAAATGCCCTTAGCACGTGGGTCGATGGTGTTGCTCTACAAGAGCTCCGAAAGTACTTGTAAGCAATGTTCTTTTTTCATTTACTAGGTAGGAACCACTGGGCTATATAACTCTATTTCAGAAGCGACCTGGCTACAAATCATAACGCAACAAAGTAGATTATCATGCGGAAATTCACAGCCGCCAAATGCTCTAAGCGCATGTCGATTCTAAATGTGGAGGGGAAAAACCGGAGGACCTGGAGGACCCGGAGAAAAATCCACGCGACCACGGGGGAGAGACATGCAAATGCCAAACATACAGCAGGCGTCAGGGTTGGGATCAAACCCACGACCTCCTGCGTACCAGGCGAGGCAGTTAACATCTCGCCACCTAATGTAACCTTCACCCTGCACCGCGATGCCCATCACCAACAAGTCAGGTGAAATTTTACGAATATTACGCAAAAAATTATTTGAGAGCAGGGCTGTTTGCGCAATTGATATGAAAAAAACCCACCGCTCGTTCCGCTCAAGCCAGCAGGCCCTGAGCTAGCGCAGTTGTGCGTGTGGCGACGCCAGCTGGAACGCCACGCGATGCGCAACAGATCCGTCCGTGCGCAGCTGCGTCCCACGCCACTCGTAGCGCCCGATCCTGCTGCGTTGAAAACGGGATTTTGTTTCCGTCGCTTAGATCGTCGGTCGAACGACGCGGCGATTTGAAATGACGACTGCCCGAGGGAAAGGGTGTATCTGCCCGTGGCTGTGGCCAGGTCATCAGCAATTCGCATCATCTGGGTTAACTCAGAATCCTCCCAGCCATGGAAGCTCTCGTCGCCACAGCTGATACACTCAGTCCAGCCACTATGGTACTAGCCCTACCTCTCGCCAGCTACCCATACTAGTGCCCTACCCTTAGCCACAGGTCCACACAGGCGGGAACAATAATCCACTTGCTGCACTGCCATCTAAAACACTGCACTTTCCCTGCCCCCCCCCTCCCTCGACCGCCACCTCCAGAGTGGTGGATCGCTGGCCCCGCGCCCCGGTGGAAAATCACCGCTTGGGCGAAAAATCCTCCACGCCGCCAGTGCTCATGTGCCGCGCAGAGCGTTGGGTTAAAAAGTGTGTGGCGAACAGCCACCGCAGCCCCCGCTCCCCCCCCCCCACCCCACCGGCGGGATCTCGCAGCCAACCTCGATGGCGTTGCGTGCGTCCGGTTTTCGCACAGAAGGCCGCCTTGTCTCCCACGGTCCGGGACGTCGCTTCTCGAGCGCCACCACCGTCGCCGCGGCCGCGGTGGCTTGCACAGGAAGCGTGGCTGCGTTGTAAAGTATTTGAAAAATGCCGAGGGTTTCACCACCCAGGAATTTTAAGCCTCGTGCCAATGAACGGATGAATGGAGGAATGATGGACGTTTTATTTATTATTATTCTGTGCAAACGCCCCCGTGCGTGGACAGGACAACCACAGCTACTACACTTCGCGAACCTACCGGCTCGCCGACCCGCGCGGCCGCGAGCTCTGGGTCAACATCGACAAGATGCAGAACCAACACGTGCGCGTGCACGGCATCCTCTCCAACACGCACCGGCAGGCCGCGGTGAGGCGCACGCATCGTAGTGATTTGGCGCACTGCGCTACGAATCCAGCGACAAGGAGTTTGATTCCCAATCACGACCAATAACAGTGACGTGTGTTTGTGTGTTCCGTGGCGCGTGTTCCCATCAGCGGGTGAACCTGTCATTCCCGTTCCTCTTCTACGGACACCACTTGGAGGAGGTGACCATCGCAACTGGAGGTGAGCCCATGACCCACCTCCCCAAGCGACCCCCGCCCATTGTTTGTAGACGCTAATACCCAGCGGGCTCTTGTGCGTTGCGTGTACACTTACAGGCCGTTTCGTTAATCCACTCCTGGATGAGGATGTAGCGGGCCTCGGAAGGTGGGTGGGGGGGTGCTATTTAACTGCGGAGCGTAGTATATTTCAACAATGGATCTCCCTGCGCACTCCCCACAATGTAGGCACGCAGCCCACAGGGCCAGCTTGATGCGCGGGTGGGTGGGTGGTCGCCCATCCCAAAGCAACTCTCCAGGCTCAATGCCGCTCTGCTTCTGAGGTCTGATAGAGCGGGCATATTGCGGGTGAGGCTCAAGTGGGCTTCTTGCCTGGGCATCGGTCTCTCGCCACGAAGGGGCAGCTCATAATGGATTATAATAATAATAATAATTTAATGCTATTAGGATTCACGCCATTTTTCATTAAGCAAGGCTATTACGGGGGGCCAGGTGGGCGCTGTGTATCACAGGCTGCAGTAGATCCACGGTAGGGGCAAACGTCTCCATGCGTAAATTCCAATTCCGTAAGTTGCAGGCAAATTTTTCAAATTCACGCACCTCCAATTTGGCACGGTTGGCTACAAACGGTGCTAAAGAAATTCTACATGCATACAAATTTTGACCACGACGCTGGCGCGGGAATCTCTTAACGCCCACCGAGTGAAGCGGGCGTAGTTAACGATGGTAACCGGTGCGGCCTACTGCTGGATTAGAACCGCGAACCTGCGGCGCAAGTGCCGAACGCTTGCCGCCCGGGGCCGCATCACCGGCGGCCCCCCCCCTTCCCCGTGATATTAGGAAGCCTCTGGGAGCTATGCACTTTAAAATCGTCGATGGAATTTATTTATTTCGAACTGCTTTTTGTGTTTAGTTTGTTGTCCTTTCCCCCCACCCACCCCGCACCTCCGATTGGCACCGCTGGTTACGTACGGTGTGAAAGGTTCTACATACATACATACATGGACCCAGTGGCCTGGTAAAGGCTGGGAGGGAAAGAGGAAGTTCTGCGGGGTGGGGGAGTTGGGGGGGGGGGGTGAATTTATGCGCTCGTTGCGACCTGTCAAAGCGTGTTAGACTCCCTGCGCAGGTCAGCGTGTCAGGTCAGCGTGTCACCGCGAGCGCCCGCTGTGCGTACGTGGGCACACGTGCAAGCGGAGCGAGAAAACAAAACCCAGCGCCACCCCACCGCGGGGGCGACGTCTGGTGCCCTGGTTCACGGCAGCAGCGGAAAGCGGTCACAGGCTGAACACACGTATTACTAAGCACAACTAGATAACAGATGCCAGTACTAACCCTACTGCTGATGCCACCTCCGGAGTTACCCCAAGGCCCCCCTTTCTCACGATTCGTTCTCTCCAGTTGTATTTGTTTCCACTTTTTTTTCCCACTTTTTCCACTTTTTTTTTCTTTGGCCAAATTGAGCAACAACAAAATGTGAGAAAAACATTATTGTGATTGGATTGTGATTGGTGCAGTCGTCTGACTGTGCTGGGACCATGGGTTCACTCCACTGGGGGGGGGGAGTCCCTTGTGAGTTCTGTGGTTTATGGCGCAGTAGGATTACCACATTTCAGTGGTGAGGGTGGCCAAAAAAATGGCCAACTATATACGATAGCAGGGTCACTGTTATAGCAGCTTTTCTGATGAAAAGGTCAAAGAAGATGTTGGAATACGTTTGAGTATTTTAGTTTTGTATATGAAACGTCGAGAGGGTATGTGCTGGGTACTGCCCATGCTGGAGACTAGTGGCATTTGCAGTCCCGGGTGATACTGACCACAATCCCCTTTAGTGTTTGTGGGCGAAATAAACCCCAGTATATTACCCTGTGGCAGAGGTGGGACAAAGTCATTGTTATGCAAGTCCAAGTCGAGTCTGAAGTCATCAAATTCATGACTCGAGTCTGACTCGAGTCCAAGTCACATGACTCGAGTCCACACCAGCCTGTGGTATAGCTTACAGCACTGGGTTAATGTTTAGCTCTGAGGTCATGAAAGTAAACATCGGGTTTCTGTTCTCTGGCTGAAGTGTTTGAGTGGGTAAATAAACAGTTTGTTTTTATTGCCCTTCAAATTTGGGCAAAGCAAATACTTGAGTAAACTTTTTTTCCCACCCCTGGGAGCCACCCTTCATTGCTCTTCAGCAGTGGCCGCGAGCTAACAAAATCTCGCTACTCGTCATTAGTAGACGGTTTTGTAAGTCGCCAAGCTGGCATGGATAACCAGCATGTACCATCACTTCCGTTGGCCGCGCCATCACCTGCATCCTTGTGAGCGGTGTGGTGACTGGACTGGAGGGGAGGGGCGGGGGAACAGATTTGTCAACCCACCCGCCCAATCCTGGGTCTGTCAAATAGCTGCCAATCCTGCCGTGCCTGTCACTCCGTGAGACTTGGGAAGAGGAGGCCATATGCATGGAGGTTTCCCGCAGACCCCCTGCGTCAACCTCCGGCCGTGTGTGTAATACTTTGCGTGTCTAGCGCTCGGTGTATTTGGTGCCAAGGTAGCGAGATGTTAACTACCTCGCCTGGTATACAAGAGCTCATGGGTTCGATTCCATCCCTGACGCCTCTATATTTAGAGTTTACATGTTTCTCTCCCTGTGGTTGCGTTGAAATTTCCTCCTGGGTTCCTCCATATTTAGAAACTTTCATTTAGAGTATTTTGCTGCTGTAAATTCACACAAGCCACTTCTTTGAGCTATCATTTGTGGCCAGGTCGCTTCTGAAATAGCCAATGAGCTCAGTGGGCCTTACTGGACGACAATTAACATTAGTAGCGGGTGATATCTTAACTGGTCCTGTCTACCCCCCCACCAATATGACCAACTCGCTGTGAGCAGCGCCACTCTAACCATTGTGGCCTTCGTCCAGTCATGGATTGACAGAGGGCTGGGACTCGTACAGTCCGGAGATGTCACACGACGCTTGTCGAAATATGTCGGCGTCGGTATTTTACCGCTCCTCCGCGTGTCAGCGGTCGAGGTGAGCTGTCCTTAATGCTCACGTCCACCCGTCCGGCAGGGTTCATCTACACGGGGGAGGTGATCCACCGCATGCTGACGGCCACCCAGTACATCGCGCCGCTCATGGCCAACTTTGACCCCAGCATCTCCAAGGAGTCCACCGTGCGATACTTCGACAACGGTGAGGGCGCGGGGAACGGACGCGCGGCGCTGCGGCGTCGCAAAGGCGGCACGAGTGGCCGCCACCACCGCCAACGCTTGCTCGCTTTCTCGGGCGATCATTTGTGTGACATCGAAATCCAACCGCAGAGTGGTTTCCACGACGAGTGTTCATGTTGAACAGGACCCGCATTATTTATACGCAGTGCCCTTGTTTATATAACAGCTGCCAACTGAGCAGCATTTGTTTAAGGATGCTGACTGCTGATTGAGGCCCGGAAGGTCGAAACCGGTCCAGAGTCTGCTGGACGACAGGGGGGGCTCAGGAAGCCACACAAATTCGCCTGTTTTCTCAAAGTTTGTGGGGATTAATATCCATTTTCTATACTTTTGAGGCATAAGCAATTACGAAATAACACTTACTACCCAGGAACAACAATTGTGTTACATCGTGTTATTCTCCGGGCCCTCCATTTTTACCCTCCAAATTTAGAATCGACATGCGATTAGAATATTTGATAAGCCACTTCGTTGAGCTTTCATTTGTGGCCAGGTTGCTTCTGTGAACCTTACCTGGTAAAATAAAAAAATAGTTTTCAACAGTATTTAACGTCTCGCCACCAGGGCGCCAACGCGTTAGCACACGAACAGCAGGCTCGGTACCGAGGATGCGGCCAGTGCTGGTGTCGAGTGAACACTTCAGTTGCAGTCCAACGCCTCTAGCCCGTGATGATGGAGTTGGTTTCATTTGCCCCCCACCTCCGCCAACCTCCACAGTGCGATGCTGCCGCTGTTTCCCCCTACGTCCATTACCACCTTTTCTGTGTTGCGGGATATCATTCTGTGTGCCCCTCCCCCCTAATGCCACCCTTCCTCCCCCTCACCCCAATCCTATCTACCTCTCCATGCATCTCTCCAACCATCCAACCCACTCATCACTCTCAGTCTCTCTCTCTCTCTCTCCGTCTCTCTCGCCACTCTCATTAATTCGTTCACGTGTTCACCCGTGCACCCGCTCATTCAACGCTTTATTTATGGAGTGCCCACCGCAGACTCCCGTCCCCGACGCTCTTTGTCTCTTTGTGTCGCACGGAGCCGGGCAAAAGAGCGGGTTCCGTCAAACGCACGGCCGTCGCGAGCGTTCGGGCTGCAGTTCTCTCTCTCTGTGGATGAGTGTGCAGTTGAAACAACTGTTTAACGAGATGCAGGAATTTGCTTGGTGAATCAGAAAGAATAGAGAAATGCATTGTCCCAAATAATTTCGAGATGTCTCAATGTCGGCTACCTCCCGGCGGTGGCAGTAGGCAAATGCTGCCGTCAGCGTTACTCCGCATGGCAGGGTGGGTGGGAAAGGGGGTTCGGGGGCCAGGAGGGCCAGCTGTAAAATCGTCAAATTTGGTCACTGTTGTTGAGTGTTTTGCTTGCTCCCTCCCCGCCTTGTCGTGCATCTTCGGGCGAGTGCAGGCACGGCACTCGTGGTGCAGTGGGACCGCGTGCACCTGCACGACAACCCCGGCGCTGGCAGCTTCACTTTCCAGGCCGCGCTGCACAGCGACGGCCGCATCGTCTTCGCCTACAAGGACGTATGTCCACCCTCCGTCCCACCGTCCGTCTTGCTGTCTGTCCGTCCACCCTCCGTCCCACCCTCCGACCCACCCTCTGTCCCACCGTCAGCCCGTCTGTCGTGTTGTGCCATTGTCGATGTGTCTCATCACAGGCCGGTGTCTGCACGTCTTACGTCCGTTTCTGTACATCTCTTTCTGCTTGTCCGTTGGGTTGCTTTGTCGTAGCGTCCATGTGTATAGGTTTTCAGTGTGTCTTTGTCCAGCTGTCATTGAATATATATATATATATATCAGTGTCTGTCAACACATGTTTGCCATTGTCCGTATGCCCTGTTTGTTTGGTTGTCTGTCTAAGTATCTTTTGTTATTTTGCATCTGTCGGCATTTACGTCTGTCTGCCCGTGTCTTCCAGTCTATATCCTGTGTGTTTGTCCGGTAACCCATCTGCCTGCACTGTGTCTATGGGCAGTCTGCACGGTCTGTCTGTCTTTAAAATAATTGGCAAACCCTCTGCAATGTTATGACCCGACCAGTGCTGCCCCCTGCTGTGTTGAAAAGAGTTCATGTGGGGTCATTGTGGGATAATGACCCTTTTGGGATCATGACAAAACAGTTGTAAAAACGATAGCTCATACATTGCTTCAGCAATTAAATTGGACTGCTTTCAGTCACGTGACCTCTCTGATACTGAGGAGGGTTGCAGTGCCCCGCAAGACCTCTGGAGTCTGCAGCTCCTGACACCCACAAGCCATTTCTTCTCCCAAGTTCATCCTGCTCTGGCTATTCTATGCTTTGGTTCTCCCTGCTATGACCAGGCCTGCCCCTATCGCAACCGCCTACCCACATCACTACCACAACCCCTAACCGTAATCCCAAACCTACTGTAACCACTACCACCTGTTTTGCACAACCACACCACCACTTTTAATAACAACCCTAACTGTTTATTTCAACCACCATCATAAGTATAATTGTTGTGAATCGCCTTTTGAATGAGGCGCTGATACGATGAGGAATTTAAACAGCCACTCGACTCTCCTTCCCCTCCCCAGATCCCAGTCCCAGTCACGAGGATCAAGGGAGACAACCACCCGGTGAAGGTCGGCCTGTCGGACGCCTTCATGGTGGTGGAGAGTCTCGGCGCACTGCCCAGTACGTCCCCCAAGCGTGGGGTTCGCTATCGTCAAAGGAATCGTGCATCATTAAATTCCTGATTTGGTAGGGGAGGGGATGGGCGACTGCACATTTCGCCTTAATGTGCTGATGGCGACGAATGCCCGTTATCCATTTGTCAATCCACGGCTGGATGAGGGATTTCCGGGTTGGGGGGGGGGACATAGACAGGAATGGAGGAGCACTGCACTCTATGGAGGGACTCTTCACCTGATTACACCAATGGTACAGTCCGGTGAAATAAAATTGGTTTCCAAAATTTTTTTTTAATTAAAATGAACACTTATGTTGTGATTACTGCCACTGGAAACTCGTCAGATGTGGTGCCCGTGGTGAGCGCCGAGCGTTTTTAAAGGTCGCACTCGTCAAACACGAAGCGCTTGCCTCAAATGAACCACAATACCTTGCTGTAGATTTGAAGCTTTCGTGACTGCAAGGATTCATACTCTTAGGTTTTTTCGGTAAAGTCACGGAAGCTTGTGTTGCCTCCGAAACGTCGTGATTTTTATTTTATTTTACTTTTATTAATTTTAATGTTTTACCTACGTCACTTTACCGAAATGAATACCTTACTGGTCTCGTTAGGGAGCATAAACCATCGAGCGATCTACGGTCATCCTCGCAGCAGCGGCTTTTTGCTGACCATCGTACAAAGACGGTCACCGCATCGCACGCTTTCAGATGCGCTTCTTCGGCCGCGTGGAACGCTCTCTCCCTTCCGATATTAGGAAGCCACTGGAGCTGTGCACTTTTAAATAATTTAGATTCCAAACTAATTTCTCCAACTGATATGTGTTTAGTTTGTCTTGCAGCCCCTGCAACTCCGATTAGCATGGTTGGCTACGTACGGTGGTGCGAAAGAAGTTCAACACGTACGTATGCGTGTGCGCTGTGTCCCCAGTTCTGCGGCGCCGGACGATCTACGAGTACCACCGCGTGGAGCTCGAGGTGGTGAAGGTGACCAACCTGACCGTCATCGAGATGGCGCCACTCCCCAGTGAGTGCTCTCCCTCCATCCTCCACTCTTCAGTCCCCATCCCGCGTTCTTGGCAGTGACACGTGCACCTGTCTCCCAAGCTACAGGGCATTGTGGGTAAAATTGTATTAACCAAAAACTCAACTATTTTATTTTACCAGGTAAGGCCCACTGAGCTATATGGTTATTTTTCAGAAGTGACCTGGTCACAAATATAATGATAGTACAATGAAGGGACCTATGTGGGAATTTATAGCAGCCAAATAGTCTAAACGCGTGGTGTTGATTCTAAATGTGAAGGGAAAAACCGGAGGACCCGGAGAAAAATCCACGCGACCACGGTGAGAGACACGCAAACTCCAAATTTACAGGCATCCGGGTTGGGATTGAACCCACGACCTCCTACATACCAGGCGATGTAGTTAACATCTCACCACCACGCTGCCCTAATGTGGCCAAGCGGTAGCGTGTTCGGGACTTGTAGCAGACGTTCGCAGTTCGATCTCCGGTCGTCGCCCTGGTTAATACTGCGGATGTATTCACCATAAAAACCACACGCCGTCCACTTCATGCCGGTGTCATGGTTCAAATGTGCCCAATTGGGGAAAAATGACTCGTTAGATATTGAATTAGGTAAACCACATCGCAAGATTGTCCCCTTACTGGCATACTTTACTCGTCTGTCCGTGTGTACGGTGCGAGCGAGCCCATCGTCTCTGCTGCAGTGGCGATATCGTCCATCTTCCCGCACATGACGCCGCGGGTTCCCAGTGTCGGGTTGCAACTTGAAATTCGAAACTTGGACGGTTAAAAAAAGATACCACTCACCGCCACCATTTACCCCCACCCCTCACCCCACAGCGTGCCTGCAGTACACCAGCTGCAAGGGCTGCCTGACCGCCCAGACCAGCTTCAACTGCAGCTGGTGTGGTCACCTCCAGAGGTGAGCTTGCTCCACTGCTGGATGACCCCCACCACCGCTGGCACCACCATGCCGTGCGAGTCCTTGGGACGCCTGCTGTATATTTGGAGTTTGCGTGTTCTCCCTGTGGTCGCGTGGATTTTTATCCGGGCCCTCGGTTTTTTTCATCCACATTTTAGAAACATGCATTTAGTATATTTCGCTATGAATTTCCACATGATAAGCCACTTCGTTGAGCTGTCATTTGTGGCCAGGTCACTTCTGCAAAAGAGCTAAATAGCTCAGTGGGCCTTACCTGATAAAATAAAGAATAGTTTTTTGCGAGTTAGTTAATCGTGTGGATAACGGATCGCAGTCGACGTTGCTGAGATTCTACATCATGTTACTCAATGCGGTTTTTAGTATTAACTTGCATTTGTAAGGTGCAGTTCATCTGTAGATCCCAATAAAATTTTTACTAATTGAAGCTAAATTGCATCTGACCGGGGAAAAATGATAAAATGTAGCATTGGCTGCCACGTCGCGAACTTCTCTGTAGCAGATTGCGTGGGGTTTCAGAATCTTTATTTATCCTGGAGAAATCCACAGATGTCCCGGGTTTACTTTTCTTTGCATCTTTGTGGTGCGGTTGGTTGGCTCCTGATTGGAAGGTTGCGAGTTCAACTCCTCGCCCCAGGGTTCACTCAACGCTCCTTTCTCCTCCTCCTCCTCGTCGTCGTCCATCTGGGTCGCGAGAACGAGTGACAGTGCTGTTGCAAGTCGGCCGCCGCGGCTGTGTCCTGCTATGAGGAATGTGAAACTTCCACCACCGTCTCCAGGGGGCTATAAACAGGAGACGAGCCTCTTCTCGCTGCCGCCTCCTGTGAGGGGCTCGAGAAGTCTGCCTCGGATATCCAAGCCAAGTGACCGCTGCGCCCTGCGCTTGTAGAAACCAGTGCCACCGGCTGTGGGCCCGCTAGCGACTCCACGGGTTGCAGGAAAACAACATTCCGAGCTCCTGTGTTGTGGGATGCCTGGATGGAGAAGCGGGCCAGGGATGGGGGTCAGCGGGTGCAAGAAGGGGAGGGGGGATGCGGGCGGGTGGGGAAGGGATGCGGGGGGGGGGTTGGGTGGGGTTGGGGGGGGATGGTGTCAGATGCCAGCTGATCCGGGCGTTCGCTGTCGTTGCAGGTGCTCCAGTGGGTTTGACCGCCACCGTCAGGACTGGATTGACAACGGCTGTCTGCAGGAGGTGCCGTCCAACTATTCTTTTCTTCTGCTGTGCCCACAGTCTGGAACTCCCCTTGCCCCAGCTATCCGTGCTATCGACTCTTTCTCCCTGTTCAAGTCCAGGCTCTCAAGGGCTTTTTTTTAGTGATACATAGGCCCACTGTTTCTATAGAGTGGCGCGTGCATGTAAAACGCCCTCCAAATCCACTGTTGATTGATGAAACAATGAGAATATGCTTTACCCATCCTGTGAATGGAACGGGAGGTGTTAGGATGTTCAAACACAAAATAGATACATTTTGCAAGGTATCAAACAAACATGATCTTCTAATGTATGCACATGAGGCTGCCTTGTCTAACCACCGGTGTTTGCACCGTTTCATCGTTTGGCGTTCTCTGGTCTAAGACGATGCACGTATCAGAGCATTTATAGCTCTGGTTGAGCAGGACTACACATTAGTTGCCGGTTGCTGTGGTGGATGCATCGCCCACAGATGCCACTGGGGGGAGGGCGGGGGAGCGGTTTCTTATCGCATCGCACGGTGGGGAGGTGCAGCAGCGGCTTGGAAAGTCAGGAGGTCCTGCAATGACCCCTGTCGATAATTATCAGACCAGTTGCCACAAAAGACAGCTCAACGGAAGTGGCTTATCGTGTCGAAATTTATAGCGGTAGCCAAATACTGTTAAGTGCACATCGGTTCTAAATGTCGAGGGAAAAATCAGAGGCCCCGGAGAGAAAAATTCACGTGACCACGGGGAGACGCACACAACAGGCGTCACGGTCCGGATCGAGCCCACGACCTCCTGTACACCAGGCGAGATAATTAACATCTCGCCCACCCGGGTGTTCCACCGACCGTGCCGGGTGACCGGGAATCCGCGTCTTCCGTGTACGTCCACCACGTGTGACGACCGCGCTCGTGTCGTGTGTGCGCTCCGCGCAGTTACGCGAGGAACAGTGCGAGGAGGAGGAGGCGGCGGGGGGAGCAGCCGGGAACTCGAGCGACGTTTCGCCCTCGGGGCCATCTGCGCGGCAGAGCACCCAGGCCAGCTCCACCGCGGTCTCCACCGCCAAAACGGCGACCACCAGCTTCGGTCCCAGAGGTAACGCGGCCGCTCCGTGATGGCCGACCCACTATTGCGCCTCCTGGACCAGCTGGACCAGCGACGAGCAGTAGAAGTCCGTTGGTTGATGTTGATTCTTAATGCCCAGTCGCGAGATATTAGCTACTTTGTCTGGTATACAAGAGGTCGATCCTGAAAAAGAGCTACTTTCTCAGTGGGCCATACCTGGTAAAATAAAAGTTTTAGTCTACTTCACTATCATACCGGTTTGTTAGATAAAATTTGATTTAATACACTTGTTTACCCAAACATATTAAAGCCTCTATTTCAGAAGGATCTTAAGTTATCTCGGTAGATGGCTGTGTTACTGCTGTGCGTGATCCCTAATTGAGAAATTTGTGGGTAACTCATCTTCTAGGTTCTTTCGGTAAAGTCACGTAGAATGGAAATAATAAAATAATAAAAATAAAACATAATAAAATAGTTCTCACGACGTTTCGGCCACAACGCAAGCAGCCGTCCTCAGGTGGAGAACAGGTCTACGTGACTTTACCGAAAGAACCAAGAAGATGAATCCCTGCAGTCACGAAAGCTTTAAATCGAAATTGTGGGTAACTTTCGATGTTTGGACCATGACGCTCGCACACAACAAAGGCCTACTCTTGCGAATGGCTCCATGGGATATTTAACGTCCAGCATTTGATCTCTTTTTGGCCGACACCAGCGAACACTTCAATTATGGAAGCGAACCGGAGAACCCGGAGGGAACCCACGTAGGACATCGGGAGAGAACATTCAAACTCCGCACTCATGCCGGGTGTCAAACTCGGTCCCTTTCTTGTCGTTAGACAATTGTCACCAGTCTGCTTGCCCTCTGTGAAACCCCCACCTCCTGTGCCTGTCCGTCCTGTGGTCTGCTCTATTTCAGATGAAGGCAGCATGTCTCTGCATCTGAAGAAGTCTGCCAGTAAGTGCTTCTCTTGTTTGGCGAGTTGGAATGGGACGACAAAGGTGGAGTCTGAGATGGGCGCACACCTGTGGTGCAAGCGCTTTAGAGACGAGGGGTTGGTGTAGCACGGAGGGATTTGTGAAACTCCCAAAATGGGGTTGTGGCCCACCTGCCCTAGAGCGAGTTAATTCTTGTCAGCCCGGTCGCATATCGCTACACAACACAATTGATGAACAGCTGAACAGGAAAAAAATCCAACTCTTGAGAATGAACACGAGTTCGGTGTTCACTTTATGGCCACCAAACAACTACTGTCTCTACGTCACTAGGCCATGTAACGAGAATGTGAGACCCTGATCTATCCACGACTGGATGAAGGCCCTCCCCAAGCCGCGTCGCCGCCTCTCGCGATGCAGCGATCCGCCGGCTCGTGCACACGGGGGGGCCCGCCCAACCCGTCGCTCCGTAGGCACAGCGGGATGTCCCCTCGTCCGCCGCTAACTAAAACAAAACTTTTTATTTTACGAGGTGAAGCCCACTGAGCCATGAAGCTTTTTCAGAATAGATCTGGGCACCAATGATGGCTAAACGAAGTGGCTTATCACGTGGACATTTATAGCAGACAAATCGATTCTAAATGTTGAGGGAAAGAACCAGAGGACCCAGATAGAAATCCACGCTTCCATGAAGGAGAGGCACAAACTCCATAGAGGCACCGGGGTCGGGATCGAACCCACGAGCTCCTGAATACCGAGGCGAGGTAGTGAACCTCTCGCCACCGTGTACCTCCTCCTCCCCCCTAGTGGAGAGCTACTCGCACTCCCCGTCGCTCTACGTGGGCTCCGTGCTGGGCTCGCTGCTCGCCGTGCTCATCCTGACGGCGCTGTCGCTCATCGTCCTCTACGTCTACCGGCACCCCACGTCGCCCGTCGGCCTCTTCATCATCGAGGTGAGGCTCGTCCGAGGCGGCCGCCACTCGCCCCGATGGTCCCGCTGAGGCTACACGGGGTGGGGATCTCTGTGCGTCTGTGTGCGCGTCTGTGTGCGCGTCTGTGTGCGCGTCTGTGTGCGCGTCTGTGTGCGTGTCTGCGGCGCTCGCGGTAGCCCAGCGGGTTGGCGCTACGAACCCGTCCACCCGAGGTTCGATTCCTGCTCACGGCCAACACCAGTGACGGTTATCTGAAGTGGTCATGTGCCTCCCCTAGGTCGAGTCGACCTCAAATGAGTACCTGGTGCTGTGTAAACTTCACTACTGGGGATACAAAGGCGGCCGTGCGTTGTAGGCCACCCAGCCCCTTCGTAGGCCGTGCCAGCCTTAATAGGTGCTCGCAAACAGCACTTATCCTCAACAGTCTGTTCAGGATATGGGGGGGGGGGGGTGCGGATCTATGTCTTTGTTCGGTGTGGTATTCGCGCTGCAGTGGAGGCAAATTTTGCATGGAACCCCTCCCCCACCCCCGCTCCCCCCCCCACCCAATAATTCAAAATCGTGCTTAATCTGTGCAGCGGCTGTGCGACCGCGTTGACGCGTGTGTGTGTGTGTGCTCTGGTGTTGCGCGTTGCGTTTGTGTGCAGCACCGGCCCAGCCGCTGGCCGTCGATGCGATTCCGCCGCGGCTCGGGCCACCCGTCCTACGCCGAGGTGGAGTCTGTGAGCCTCGAGAAGGACTGCTTCGTCGAGTCGTAACGCACGCCCGCCACCCTACTAGGGAGGAGGGGGGCGGTGAGGGGGGGGGGGGCACGGTGGGAGGGTGGCGTGGCGGGACGGTGTCCGTGGAGGAGGAGGAGGAGGGGGTAAGGCAGCGTTTTAAAAAGCTTCCAGTCCTTGCGACCGGCCACGGTCCGTCATTTCCACCTTTGCCCGTTCCCGCAGTTTAAAAAAATAAAATTGACATTCAGTTGGTTCACGCCGCACGCGCCTGACGCTTGAGGGAACTCGTGCCCCTTGATGTTAAAGAGCCGATTCAAATTCACACCGAGATATTTTGCGTGAGTGTGTGTGGCGCCCCTTGCCACGTAGAGGGTGCCGGTTCATGTGAACATCGCCAAACCTAAGTCGCATGGGGACGTGTTGAACAATCATCTGGCGTGTGCGGCGCGTCACAAATACATTTCGATTCGGGATGGAGGAGAGGTGGGGAAAAGTCTGAAAGGCCCATGGTGGTGGGACAAGGCGAGAGTGGGAAAGGCTGGGCGGGGGTTGAGGGGGGGGGATAGGGGTGGTGGAGGGGGGGTTGGAGGGGGGGGATGCGTCTGTGATTAGCATGCTCTGTCCACTGCTGGGTGGATGTGAGCCCGGGATTGATGCATGGCTGTCTTGGGTGATCGCCCTGCTAATGGATTTAATGGTTCCCGCCGGATGGGGTATCCTTTGCCGTGTCGCCGAGCGGTTCGGTCCGACGCGTCGGTCGCTCCCGCAGGATGCACTGCGCGAGGCTTCGCACGCAGAGCCAGCGCGCCGTGTCTGTCGCTTTGCCTGCTGGGGGAGAGCATGGGGGCGTGCTCGCTCTGCACGGGAAGCGAGGCGCGAGTTGGCACGGAACGACGCTACGTGTACGGCACACCGGCAAGCGTTCACCTGCACCCCGAGCGCAGATGTGTGCACACGCACGGAGCATAAAGTTGAGAGCACGCGCGCACGAACACGCAGCACACGTTTTTGCACAGGTTCACAATCACAGTTTGTACCGATTTGAGCACGGTGTGGATTTGAACGCCGCACGGATTGAACACGACTTGGAATTGCACGGCACTTGGGTGCGGGGCACAAGCACACGTTTTACATGCATTCGTCGACTCCGTGTTGACTGCGCCGTGGCTCGGGAGGAACGCGTGCCGCTCGCTCGCCCGCCCGCGCGGAGAGGAGTGCAGCAGCAGACGCTGCTGCTTGTGGGGATGGATGGCGCTGCCGACGCTCGCTTGGTGTGGGAAGTGCCTTGTTTGTTTTTTTGCCGACGGCCCAAGCGGTCGCCCCGTCCGTTTACGGACGCGCGCCTTACCTTGTCGTTAGAGGAGTATTGACGGGGATTTTTTTATTTTACACATGCCGTGATGGACTGATGGGTTTTTATAACGAACAAAACGACAACAAAAACGATTGCGTAAACGTCATCGTTGAGTGTAAAATTAAAGTGTGGTGCATTCCATGGCAGTCGTTTGATTCGACTGTGGTTAAGGACTACAATATTTTTTTGGGGGGGGAGGGGAGCGGGTTGGTTTCGTCTGTAACCCCCTCCCTCTTGTCCATGCACTCGCGCGTCAATGCGTTTTTTTAAGGAGGGTGGCATCGCACTCCCATGGAGAGGGGAAAAGGATGTACAAATTTAGACGGTGTAGATTTTAACAGTGAGAAGGACTGATTGACGTTGCTTTTTAACCACGTGTTACTGACTTTTCAGAGTTGTGAAGTTCGTTCGAGGGAGATATTTTAAACGGTACTTTAACCGCCATGCTTTGGTTTAAAATGTTTTAACATTTTCACGGTTGTTCGAATGAATTGAATATCGGCTCGGGGCGGGTTGTAAGGTACATGGCGAGGATGATTGGGGAGACGTGGTTTATTTTGTAAGGCTCTGCTTCGCCACGCGTGTTTTTACGTGGCGTTTTAAACGTTTTTAACTGTTCATTCTTTGCTTTATGCAGTACCGAAGATTCCCGTTTAGTCGTTCCACATGGTACGATGGGGGTAAGGGCTTGGACAATGCAGTGTCGTTCTTTACACATGTATATATTCTTGTAAACAACCTGGCTGTAAATAAAGATTTTACTCTCCCTGTCGCAACACAAACCGAACTCAAATCGTGTTTTGTCCCAGCGGTCCGTGTGTGTGCGTGCGTGTGTGTGTGATGGGGAGCGGTGGTGTAACGATTAGCACGCTGCGCTATGAACCCGGCGATCCGGGTTCGATTCCCGCTCACGGCCAACACCAGTGACGATTATCTGAACCGGTCCTGGGCCTCCCCTAGGACGACTCGGCATCAAATGAGTACCTGGTGCGATGTGTAAACATCGCCGCTAGGGAGTCAAAGGCGGTCGGGCGTGGTGCTGGCCTCCACCCCTTCGTGTACCGTTGCGGCCTTCATAGGTGCTCGCTAACAGCACTTGCTCCTACAGTCTGCTAAGGCTATATGGGGGGTCTTTGTATGTGTGTGTGTATATGGAACGGTGTCGCAGCGGCTGCTGCTGTGCAACAAACTCAGCAACCCCAGTTCGATTCCTGCTCACCGCAATGCACGGTGACGATTTTCTGAACCGGTCCTGGCCCCCCCCCCTAGGTCGACTCGGCCTCAAATGAGTACATGGTGGGATGTGTAAACATCAGCACTGGGGAAAGAAAGGCGGCCAGGCATGGTGCTGGCCACCCCTCCCCTCGTGCCCCATGCCCCAGCCTTCATAGGCACTGTTCGCTAACAGCACTTGCTCCAACAGTCTTAAGGCTATTAAGGGGATCTTTGGCTTTGCTTCTGGGTCTGATTCATGACGTCCGTGTCAAATAGCGTGTGGTGAAGACGCGATTGTTGTTTGTGCTGCGTGTATCGGTTTTGCGTTTCTGCTGGTGTAGCATCTTAGCCACACTAAGCGGGTGTTAGTGTGGGGAATATTTAAAAACTTGGCGACAATTCTGTGTTTCTCACTTGAGCATGCTTAAGTTTCCTGTAAAGGTGATCTTTCATTATAGGAGTGTAGATATATATATATATTTAAATCAAGAAATGGCACTGAAGATGGGTGAACTCAACCTGGCAATGCTCTGTGAGAGAACAGTCGGTGGCACTCTGAAGTCTGCTGGGGTGGTTCTCAGGATAAAGTGGACCGACGGCCACGATCGAGATGAAGGCTGCACCACTTCCACTCGGCGCAGGGAGATGCAGGGCCGTATTGTCCAATAGGCACAGTCGGTTTTCCTAGACCTAGGGCAGGGGTCGGCAACCTACGGCTCCGGAGCCGCATGCGGCTCTTTACGGGCTGCTTCTTGACGATATGTACGTATGTACATAGATGCATTGCGGCTCTTGAAATACTGAATTTTGTACCGAATTGGAAAGAAATGGCTCTTCTTGTTATTTTGGTTGCCGACCCCTGACCTAGGGCATACGACAACTGAAGGGCCTACAAAAAAAATGGTAGCATGGTTTTTTTGTTTTGTTTCTATGATACATTTTAAGCTTAAACGAAAGTAAAGCAATATGGCGCTCGCCATGCAGTCATCTTGTCAGAACATTGCAATTATTGATGGAAATGAATGGCATGATTCTAAAGTTGTGTCATCCGATGTGGTGATCATTGTAAAAAATATAGTTTAAATTTTCGCTTATATTTTTTCAGCTGACTTTTTTTTTTTCAAATTAAATCTGCTTATCTGCGGCATACCATGCACTCCCATCGAACGCGGGCACAGACTAAGCAATGAACGTATCGGTAACGACATCTGTCCAGCGAGTGACGGTGGCGGTAGTAACATGGGCAGTACCAACTGAAGGTCCGTGAAACAAGTGCCAAGGGCCTCCAAGAACCTTCATTTGGCACGAGGGAGATGCACGTTGTATGCAAGTAGTTTAACACCGAGACTTTCGTGACCATCCACAATGGAGGTATTTTGGTTGGGTTAGATTGCGAAAATTTAAATGCGTTGTTAAACCCGCCACTACACGTCACGTAGGCAATTCGTAAGGTTTGTCACGTGAACACAACATGGCCAATTATCTTCTTGTTTCTTTCGGTAAAGTCACGTAGAATGGAAATAATAAAATAATACAAATAAAACATAATAAAATAATTCTCACGACGTTTCGGCCACAACGCAAGCAGCCGTCCTCAGGTGAAGAACAGGTCTGTCGAGAAGACAGTCTGAATGACACACCCCAGGCTTGGAGCGTCTATTTATGCTGGGAGGGAGGAGGAAGAGCGCCTTGGCCAATTAGTTACTAGTTCAGCACACCGGTGTGTTGGAGCGTCAACCCACATTTCAAATTCGAGTAATGACGTTTTGCCGGTAACTATAACCGGCCACATCAGGCGACTGCCATAATTGTGGAGAAATACTCCTTTTTTTGTCTTTATGCATATTCAACTTTTTTTGCACCATACGGAGCGAGCCGTGCTTAATCGGAGGTGCGGGGGGACAACAAACTGTGGCCTTCGTCCACGTATTGGAGCAGGGCGTCGGCCTGCACTCCTCACGACCCACCAGGGTCCCACCGCTCCGCGTGTTTGCCGGTCAAATTGTCACGTCTCCAATCGTTGCTGGATAGCCTCCACCGCTGCATGTCAAAATACACGCAAATATCTCATTTTTATTTCGATTTAAAGCTTTCGTGACTGCAGGGATTCATCGTCTTGGTTCTTTCGGTAAAGTCACGTAGAAGGCAAGTAATAAAATAATAAAAATAAAACATAATAAAAATAATTCTCACGGCTGCTTGTGTTGTGGCCGAAACGTCGTGAGAATTATTTTTAGTATGTTTATTATTTTATTACTTCCGTTTCTACGTGACTTTACCGAAAGAACCAAGAAGATGATCTCATTTTTATTTGAATCGGTGTCGACAACGTGGAGTATGGTGTGGCAGTGGTCGGGCATGTGCGGATGGTTGTAGGAAGTCAAAGTAGCCGGAGAAAACCCACCATGCACCTGGAACGGGCCCCAGAAGGTCAACCCGAAACGACTAAGTCAATCGCTGCACCGATTTGACCGGGAATATATCTCTGCGCTGTAACGATGTGTGATTGGCTGCTGGGAATGAGGGTGACGGTGATGAGAAGAGGTGACGTCACAGGGGAGTGATGGCAGCGGGAGGAGAGCGAGCTGTGGATGAAGGAAGGAGCTGTGTGTGTGTGTGGTGCAGAGGTGGAATAAACGGACTGAAACCCTGACCTGCCTCGGCATGCTAGTAATTAGAGTGTCCGCTGTACCTATGTAGTGGTGTTATTTCACATGGGGACAACTTATTTTCTTCTGTCACTTTATTCATGTAATCTATAAACCAGCAATTAACGATTTTAAATCGGTTAACACTGCACCTATTTACTATTTTTATTTTACCAGCTAAGGGCCCACTGAGCTGTATAGCTCTTTTTAAATCCTTTATATTAAGTTCACTTGCTTGCTTGCTTGCGCGCTTACGACCGTGCAAATATTTCGGTCGTTTTTTAACCCACTTCCCGTGATCCAATTGAGCTGACATTTTGCACACAGACTCGTTGTGCGTGACAATTTATTTTCGTGAATTTTTTCTCTCCAAAATTTTACACTTTTTAGGAAAAAAAATAATTATATTTAATTACCAATTGCTTAATGGTGGCAGGCAATCATCTGACCCATAGGTGGCAGCCATCTCAAGCCAGAGGACGAGAGGACTCTAGCCGCCACGCAAATAAAGGATTTATAGTGAAAAACTTTTGTTTTTACGGGTTAATTTTTTCAGAAGCGACCTGGCCACAAATGATAGCTCAAGGAAGTGGCTTATCACGTGGAACTGTATAGCAATCAAATACTCGAAACCCATGCTCCTAAATGTGCAGGGGAAAAACAGGAGAATCCAGAGGGGAAAAAAATCCACGCGTCCACAGGGATAGAGACACCCAAACTCCAAATATACAACAGGCATCAGAGTCGGGAGAGAACCCACGACCTCCTGTATACCAAGCGAGGTAGTTAACATCTTCTAGCCACCGTGGCACTTAAGGAGCTGGATCAGAGAGGCTCTTTCACGCGAATGTAAAAGCCATTTCTAAACTCAATGACCCTAAACAATGTGGTTTCCACAAGATAAAACCAATACGAATTTAATTATAGCATTGGTCGTGAATGCCAAATGTAGAGAAACAAAAAAAGTTGCTCTACTGCCCCATCTTCTGGCAGCGTAGCGATTAGCGGCTGTGCGCTATGAAACCGGCGACCCCAGTTCGATTCCCGCTCACAGCCAACACAAGTGACGGATATCTGAACGGGTCCTGGGCCTCCCTTAGGTCGATTCAGTCTCAAATGAGTGCCTGGTGCGACGTTTAAAAAATAAAAAAAACATCGCCACTGGGGAGACAAAGGCAGTCGGACATGGTTCTGGCCATCCACTCTCTTGTGTGGCTTCCCGGCCTTAATTGGTGTTCGCTAGCACCACTTGCCCCAAGTCTGTTAAGGCTATAGGGGAATATTTGCATTTGTCCCAGCACAACACTGGCACAAATGTTTATTTCAAGCATAAAAAGCGATTACAAAGCAACATGGGTTATACATTGTAATGTTTATTAAGCTGAAAGCAAATATTACATTCCCTTGCAAATATGCATCACTTCAACAATTACGAGTATGGAAATGTGTGTCTGTGTAAAACCAGCACAGGACCATCATCAATATAACAATGGCTCTGTATGGCCACTAAAAGAACCTCGATTCTTAAGACAGAAGTGTATTCAAGTCGGGGTTAGAGAGCACTTTTCACAATTCCACTCACTTCCCTGAACAGGCAATATTCAGTGCCACCGTCCAAACAAATTCACGGGCCCTCCACCAGACATTTCACTTGCCCACGCTTGTGCGTCAGAAACTCCGTGGCAGCGATTTCCAGAGGTGTGGACTCGAGTCATGTGACTTGGACTCGAGTCAGACTCGAGTCATGAATTTGATGACTTCAGACTCGACTTGGACTTGCATAACAATGACTTTGTCCCACCTCTGAGGTGTGGACTCGAGTCATGTGACTTGGACTCGAGTCAGACTCGAGTCATGAATTTGATGACTTCAGACTCGACTTGGACTTGCATAACAATGACTTTGTCCCACCTCTGAGGTGTGGACTCGAGTCATGTGACTTGGACTCGAGTCAGACTCGAGTCATGAATTTGATGACTTCAGACTCGACTTGGACTTGCATAACAATGACTTTGTCCCACCTCTGAGGTGTGGACTCGAGTCATGTGACTTGGACTCGAGTCAGACTCGAGTCATGAATTTGATGACTTCAGACTCGACTTGGACTTGCATAACAATGACTTTGTCCCACCTCTGAGGTGTGGACTCGAGTCATGTGACTTGGACTCGAGTCAGACTCGAGTCATGAATTTGATGACTTCAGACTCGACTTGGACTTGCATAACAATGACTTTGTCCCACCTCTGAGGTGTGGACTCGAGTCATGTGACTTGGACTCGAGTCAGACTCGAGTCATGAATTTGATGACTTCAGACTCGACTTGGACTTGCATAACAATGACTTTGTCCCACCTCTGAGGTGTGGACTCGAGTCATGTGACTTGGACTCGAGTCAGACTCGAGTCATGAATTTGATGACTTCAGACTCGACTTGGACTTGCATAACAATAACTTTGTCCCACCTTTGAGGTGTGGACTCGAGTCATGTGACTTGGACTCGAGTCAGACTCGAGTCATGAATTTGATGACTTCAGACTCGACTTGGACTTGCATAACAATGACTTTGTCCCACCTCTGAGGTGTGGACTCGAGTCATGTGACTTGGACTCGAGTCAGACTCGAGTCATGAATTTGATGACTTCAGACTCGACTTGGACTTGCATAACAATGACTTTGTCCCACCTCTGAGGTGTGGACTCGAGTCATGTGACTTGGACTCGAGTCAGACTCGAGTCATGAATTTGATGACTTCAGACTCGACTTGGACTTGCATAACAATGACTTTGTCCCACCTCTGAGGTGTGGACTCGAGTCATGTGACTTGGACTCGAGTCAGACTCGAGTCATGAATTTGATGACTTCAGACTCGACTTGGACTTGCATAACAATGACTTTGTCCCACCTCTGAGGTGTGGACTCGAGTCATGTGACTTGGACTCGAGTCAGACTCGAGTCATGAATTTGATGACTTCAGACTCGACTTGGACTTGCATAACAATGACTTTGTCCCACCTCTGAGGTGTGGACTCGAGTCATGTGACTTGGACTCGAGTCAGACTCGAGTCATGAATTTGATGACTTCAGACTCGACTTGGACTTGCATAACAATGACTTTGTCCCACCTCTGAGGTGTGGACTCGAGTCATGTGACTTGGACTCGAGTCAGACTCGAGTCATGAATTTGATGACTTCAGACTCGACTTGGACTTGCATAACAATGACTTTGTCCCACCTCTGAGGTGTGGACTCGAGTCATGTGACTTGGACTCGAGTCAGACTCGAGTCATGAATTTGATGACTTCAGACTCGACTTGGACTTGCATAACAATGACTTTGTCCCACCTCTGAGGTGTGGACTCGAGTCATGTGACTTGGACTCGAGTCAGACTCGAGTCATGAATTTGATGACTTCAGACTCGACTTGGACTTGCATAACAATGACTTTGTCCCACCTCTGAGGTGTGGACTCGAGTCATGTGACTTGGACTCGAGTCAGACTCGAGTCATGAATTTGATGACTTCAGACTCGACTTGGACTTGCATAACAATGACTTTGTCCCACCTCTGAGGTGTGGACTCGAGTCATGTGACTTGGACTCGAGTCAGACTCGAGTCATGAATTTGATGACTTCAGACTCGACTTGGACTTGCATAACAATGACTTTGTCCCACCTCTGAGGTGTGGACTCGAGTCATGTGACTTGGACTCGAGTCAGACTCGAGTCATGAATTTGATGACTTCAGACTCGACTTGGAGTTGCATAACAATGACTTTGTCCCACCTCTGAGGTGTGGACTCGAGTCATGTGACTTGGACTCGAGTCAGACTCGAGTCATGAATTTGATGACTTCAGACTCGACTTGGAGTTGCATAACAATGACTTTGTCCCACCTTTGAGGTGTGGACTCGAGTCATGTGACTTGGACTCGAGTCAGACTCGAGTCATGAATTTGATGACTTCAGACTCGACTTGGACTTGCATAACAATGACTTTGTCCCACCTCTGAGGTGTGGACTCGAGTCATGTGACTTGGACTCGAGTCAGACTCGAGTCATGAATTTGATGACTTCAGACTCGACTTGGACTTGCATAACAATGACTTTGTCCCACCTCTGAGGTGTGGACTCGAGTCATGTGACTTGGACTCGAGTCAGACTCGAGTCATGAATTTGATGACTTCAGACTCGACTTGGACTTGCATAACAATGACTTTGTCCCACCTCTGAGGTGTGGACTCGAGTCATGTGACTTGGACTCGAGTCAGACTCGAGTCATGAATTTGATGACTTCAGACTCGACTTGGACTTGCATAACAATGACTTTGTCCCACCTCTGAGGTGTGGACTCGAGTCATGTGACTTGGACTCGAGTCAGACTCGAGTCATGAATTTGATGACTTCAGACTCGACTTGGACTTGCATAACAATGACTTTGTCCCACCTCTGAGGTGTGGACTCGAGTCATGTGACTTGGACTCGAGTCAGACTCGAGTCATGAATTTGATGACTTCAGACTCGACTTGGACTTGCATAACAATGACTTTGTCCCACCTCTGAGGTGTGGACTCGAGTCATGTGACTTGGACTCGAGTCAGACTCGAGTCATGAATTTGATGACTTCAGACTCGACTTGGACTTGCATAACAATGACTTTGTCCCACCTCTGAGGTGTGGACTCGAGTCATGTGACTTGGACTCGAGTCAGACTCGAGTCATGAATTTGATGACTTCAGACTCGACTTGGACTTGCATAACAATGACTTTGTCCCACCTCTGAGGTGTGGACTCGAGTCATGTGACTTGGACTCGAGTCAGACTCGAGTCATGAATTTGATGACTTCAGACTCGACTTGGACTTGCATAACAATGACTTTGTCCCACCTCTGAGGTGTGGACTCGAGTCATGTGACTTGGACTCGAGTCAGACTCGAGTCATGAATTTGATGACTTCAGACTCGACTTGGACTTGCATAACAATGACTTTGTCCCACCTCTGAGGTGTGGACTCGAGTCATGTGACTTGGACTCGAGTCAGACTCGAGTCATGAATTTGATGACTTCAGACTCGACTTGGACTTGCATAACAATGACTTTGTCCCACCTCTGAGGTGTGGACTCGAGTCATGTGACTTGGACTCGAGTCAGACTCGAGTCATGAATTTGATGACTTCAGACTCGACTTGGACTTGCATAACAATGACTTTGTCCCACCTCTGAGGTGTGGACTCGAGTCATGTGACTTGGACTCGAGTCAGACTCGAGTCATGAATTTGATGACTTCAGACTCGACTTGGACTTGCATAACAATGACTTTGTCCCACCTCTGAGGTGTGGACTCGAGTCATGTGACTTGGACTCGAGTCAGACTCGAGTCATGAATTTGATGACTTCAGACTCGACTTGGAGTTGCATAACAATGACTTTGTCCCACCTTTGAGGTGTGGACTCGAGTCATGTGACTTGGACTCGAGTCAGACTCGAGTCATGAATTTGATGACTTCAGACTCGACTTGGACTTGCATAACAATGACTTTGTCCCACCTCTGAGGTGTGGACTCGAGTCATGTGACTTGGACTCGAGTCAGACTCGAGTCATGAATTTGATGACTTCAGACTCGACTTGGACTTGCATAACAATGACTTTGTCCCACCTCTGAGGTGTGGACTCGAGTCATGTGACTTGGACTCGAGTCAGACTCGAGTCATGAATTTGATGACTTCAGACTCGACTTGGACTTGCATAACAATGACTTTGTCCCACCTCTGAGGTGTGGACTCGAGTCATGTGACTTGGACTCGAGTCAGACTCGAGTCATGAATTTGATGACTTCAGACTCGACTTGGACTTGCATAACAATGACTTTGTCCCACCTCTGAGGTGTGGACTCGAGTCATGTGACTTGGACTCGAGTCAGACTCGAGTCATGAATTTGATGACTTCAGACTCGACTTGGACTTGCATAACAATGACTTTGTCCCACCTCTGAGGTGTGGACTCGAGTCATGTGACTTGGACTCGAGTCAGACTCAAGTCATGAATTTGATGACTTCAGACTCGACTTGGACTTGCATAACAATGACTTTGTCCCACCTCTGAGGTGTGGACTCGAGTCATGTGACTTGGACTCGAGTCAGACTCGAGTCATGAATTTGATGACTTCAGACTCGACTTGGACTTGCATAACAATGACTTTGTCCCACCTCTGAGGTGTGGACTCGAGTCATGTGACTTGGACTCGAGTCAGACTCAAGTCATGAATTTGATGACTTCAGACTCGACTTGGACTTGCATAACAATGACTGTCCCACCTCTGGCGATTTCCTTACCGTCTTCACCCGCCTTGATCGATGCGCTGCTGCAATGCAACGCCTTGGTTTTACACGGGGAAATAAAATAAAATTACGCGACTTCCTTTTCGAAACGAGAATGCTGGCTCTAGATTTGAAGCTTTCGTGACTGCAATGATTCATATTCTTAGGTTTTTTCGGTAAAGTCACGTAGGTTAAAAACATTAAAAAGTAAAATAAAATAAAAATCACGACGTTTCGGAGGCAACACAAGCTTCCGTCTTCAGGTGGTACCGTCACGGCCACGACAGCTGTATCAAGTAAATGAGAGATTGCAGAAGCTACCACTCCGTTTAGTTGATACAGCTGTCGTGGCTGTGACGGTACCACCTGAAGACGGAAGCTTGTGTTGCCTCCGAAACGTCGTGATTTTTATTTTATTTTACTGTTTAATGTTTTTTACCTACGTGACTTTACCGAAAAAACCTAAGAATGAGAATGCTGGCCACACGATTTACTCTCACGCGACCACGCAAGGGGAAATGTCACCACTGGAAATGTTTGCTGCCTCTGGTGGCGCAAGATGAATGCGCTGCAGTGTCGATGGGCAGCACAATATCGCCACGTGCTACGGCGAGCTGGCGAGCAGAGTTGCCGTTTCATTTTTGCTCTGGAACCGAAACCCGCGGACCGATTTGTGTCCTTTACACTCCGAGGAATGCATCGAGGCTTTGCATTTGGAATGTTTGGCCAATTCCACGTACTTGCGTTTGGCTTCACGTGGGAGGAAACCGGAGAACCCGCAGGAAATCCACCGGACCACACCTCAAGCGAGGATCATCGTCAAAGCTCAGCAGGGGAAGATTCTAGAATCCTCTGCTGCACTGCCATCTCTTGTACATCTCGCAGCTCGCGCATACGAACACCGAGTGTAATTAAGGCAGCTTCCAGGCAGAGCCTTGTTTAGCTTCACGCATCTGATGATACTTGGTGCATTTAGGCGATTTAGTAACAGGCAAAGCTGTCCTGCTGAAGGCGTGGGGTGGTGGCAACGACAGTGCTCCAGGTTTAGAGAACAGAGAGATCCGGTCCTGCGTTTTTGTTGTATTATCTGATAAAGGTCACCGGGTTCCACAACTGACGTTGAAATACAAAGTACTTCCCGTCTTAATTCCAAACAATGCTGCAATAATGTTTTTTTTTAACTTGGACTGGGTCTTTCTGTCCTCCCACATATGGATCACTAACGTAAGTAGCCTTCGGCAATCAATGGCTCCAATTTATCAGTGCCTCAATGAGTTACGTGATCTAGCAGTAATTGTGAAGACATGTATATATTATTAAACATCTTAGGCCTCGTGGGCTGTTGTCTATGTAGGCTTGGGTGAACAATTTACACCAGTTCGTGGTCATATTGTACGTTTCGGGAAATCGGAGGCGGATTCATATGATGGAGGAAAGGCACATTTCCGCCAATTTAAAACAGAAAAAACCGGCCCAAATTTACTACAAACGGTGGCGATTGTGGCCACTTCTCTGATGAATATCAGCGGAAACAGCTTTGCTGCCAACACAGGCTCACAACCTCGCACAGATTGCTAAACGTGTCGGCTAAAGCTCGTTCAATATTGGAACGACGTGCGTTTAGAACAGAAAGAATATAACATAAGGTTATCAAAAGTCAAACTAGTTTTTATTTCACCAAGGCCCAGTGAGCTATAGAGCTCTTTTTAACAGAAGCGACCTGGCCATCAATGATAGCTCAACGAAGTGGCTTATCATGTGGAAATGTATATCAGCCAAATATGCTAAACGCATGTTTCTAAATGTGGAGGGGAAAACCAGAGGACCCGAAGAAAAATCCACACGGCCACGGGGAGAACACGCAAACTCCAAATATACAGCAGCAGCAGGCGTCAGGCTTGGGATCGGACCCACAACCTCCTGCATACCAGGCGAGGTAGTTAACATCTCGCCACCGCGGGACCCGAAGACTTGAATGCCTGTGATGCCCGTGACAGAAACGACGACTGGTGGCTTAATGTACGACAGCTTTAGCTTTGATGGACAACTGATATCGTGAAGGTGGACCAAGCATATCGATTATGCCATGAGACGCAGGTTATTAATCTTAAGCCTTGCCAAGCGGTGAAGAGGCGGTACAAGTCAAGAGACCTCCGCAGTTGGCATCACTTGGTCTACAAGCCGAGAACGGATATCTGACACGTCGGTACCACCTTCCAGGTGGCATCACTTTTTCGTCTTCAATTTCTCTACGTTGGCTAATAGCAGTGAATTATGTGGTAACTATTTGGAACGAGTGGGGGTTTATCGAGCAAATAAAATTTACACTATCGTAGAGGTGGTGCAGATTTTTTGCGCCGTGGCCCGTGGGACTATCTTGCAGGAAAGGGTCACATCTGGTCACACCTGGTGTGTCTGGAGATTTGGAACCCTGAAGAGTTGGTCGAAATTCATCACAAAGTTCCCCATCACGTCCCGAGCCCTGAATGCTAAATCGCGGAATATGGCAGTACAACTAAGAGCTACGCATTGCAAATAAAGAGTCAAAAGTTTATAATTCAGGAATGTAAATATATATTTCTTACCATTTCATTCGTTACTATTTAATATAAGCAAAGATTTTTTTAAAAAATGTGTTGAGTGAGAAATACTACTTTTTGTTAAAACGTCTGGGTTTTTTTTCTCAGCAAACGTTTCGTCTCACGCAGCAAGGGGTGACATTTACGCAGCCGATGGAATGTTGTTCGGCATGCGCATCTCAGGCACCAGTTGGGTTAAAATTTGGTATGGTAAAACTGTAATTGCGAATAAGCGAGTTTTTTCTGCTTTGTGTGAAAGCCAAATGAATGGCTTCTCGCCTGTTCAGCAAATTGAACACGTGACCTTCCGTCATCCTGAGTCCTGGCAAGATAAACATGTATTTTTTTTTTATCCAAAACACATCATCGCTGCAGCCAAACTTGCCTCCTAACTTCACGGATGACTCGCACGTAACCTTTTTTTGTTTTCTCAGCAACCGTTGCGCACTTGCAAATGCGGTTACCCAATAATGCTCGACGTAAAGTTTTCTAAAACGGCACTGTGGAGTTGGGGGAGCAACTACGTGTAACTGGTAGGAGTGGTAGGCACACATGCAGAAAGCTGTACGAAACTGCGTGATTAGACTCCCAGAGCTGTACGTGAATCTAAAGGGACGCCCGTGTTCCATGAGCAAACGACACATCGTAGTCGAAAAACAAGATTCTTGCCCTCGCGATGCACGCGTCGATCTGCCTGTGCTGAAAAATCCATTGTTTTTTTTCTATTCACAGACGCTGCGTGCAATTCCTTCGTGTGAACCCTGCAGCCCACTCAAGGCGCTACACATTTAAAAATGTCAACAACAACAAATTCATCAAGATGAGACGAGTCATCGAACCGGCGTGAGAGAGGCGCAGAATCGTCGTGGTTTTTTTCTTTCAAATCAAGCCCAAAAAGCCATAACTGCCAGCAACGAACACGGAGAGAGTTTGTGTCCCAGGACCGAGCACCAAGACAGCTGCTTTGTTACCCACAACTGTTTGCGTCCGCCGCAACATAGGCCACACTCACTTGTTGGCATTAAACTCAAAACACAGTGTGTGCGAGTCTAATTAATATTAATAAATAAGAGTAGAGCCCTTTGGCAATCCACGGCCGGACGAAGGCCTCCCCCCCCCCGTAGGAACGTTTAGACATCCGTCCAGGTTGTGCAACGCCGGTTAGAGCATTGGGCAAGCAAGCAGAAGGATCAGATCTCAGGGATCGATTCGGTACATCATCCCTCCAGGTTGGATAAGAGAAAGTTAATCCCTTGTGGAAAGTGAGCAGCGGATGTCTTCCGGAGAAACTGGTCCCCACCATAGAAATGTGGAATTTCTACCGCTGGTTAAAACCACCAGGGGGAGAGGCGCGCTTCCCCACGTCTGCATGTGAGTCCGCATATGCGATGGACTTGGTCAGACGAAGCCTGTCTGACTGCAATGGAATGTTTCAGAAATAAATGTAGTAAATCTAAAAATAAGCATGTTTTATCAACTGACTGGCAAATAAGAAAAATTACAAACAACTCAACAAAATGAAGCTAAATTCATCTCTCATCTATTTACTTGCACGGAAGGCGTTTGCGTTTTGTTTTTCAACCGACTGGTGTGGCACAACAAATGCTTGTACACCGTGCGATGAATGTATTTGTTTTGGTCGTGTCGGGTGACGGAGGGCCTCGCGACACGCATTTTGGCCAGATCATTACTACTACACGTGTGGCCAAACCGAAAGAAAAAAAACCAGTGGCGAATCAAAGCACGGTGGGAGTTTGCGAGTTTGAGCCAGTGGAGAATCTCACACCGGCACGGCCTCTGACCCTGCCAAATCATCACAATTACCAACCATGCACGTTGATAAGGCCAATTAACAGTCCATTGTTAAGTATAGAGCAACATCTCTGTTATCTGCCACTTCACCGTCCGGAATGCTCTATAAACCGGCATCTGTCACAGACGGAAATATAAATCTATGGAAAAAATCCAACAACCATCTGGCATCTTGCCATGCGTGCACTTATCGTAGATCCGTTGTTGTTTACGGAAGATTCAGGATGCTGCCGAGTGGTGGTGCTAGCGACATACAGTACTCTACCACTGTGCTTTAAACTGCCCCTCTGCTTCTCTACAATCAACTTAGAATGCTCTACAGCTGACAGGGCGAGTACCTCTGTAAATTGAGTATATTGTGTCTTACATCATCGTTAAAATTAGGACTTGGTTTCTTTCTTTTAAAGTTTAATGTACTTGGAAAATGTGGTGAACCGTGAGTATAAATCTCAGATAAACAGGTATATTTGATGAACCAGCACCCTACATTGCCCATGAATGCCAGATAATAGAGCTTTTGCTGTAACATTGTTTTCTAATATATATAACAACAAATTGCTATTTTAAGTTTATTTTTTATTAAAGGCTGGGGGGAAAAAAGAAAATCTACGTCAGTCTTAATATGTTAAATGCAACTTTGTAAATCAACTTGGAAACTACGAGTATGAAAATAAAATAACGTTGGTAAGTGTTTATATATTTTTAAAGATTACAGCGTAAACTATATTAAAGTAATTGGAGACAATAAGGAATCATGTTGTTGCTGTAGTTGGCCCTGGCTCTTAATGCTCTTTAATAATTATTATTTTAAAGCAATTCGTGCGTTGAGTGTCAATTGTTTGAAGCCAGCGCTGCCAATGGGACGCAGGCTCCCAACTTGCCTCAACGCACCGAGAGAGCGAAGATAAATGCATCACAGAATATTATTTTTTTGCGTCATTCTAGAAACTGCGCCGAGATAGAAAAAAAAGACATCAACCATTCATTGGTCTGCAAATTTACAAAAAATTTGTAAATATAAAAAAAATTGCGACGATGCATTTCAATTCAGCACCCCCCCCACCCCACCGACCCCCCGGCCTCACAGTAACATAGAGCAGGGACTCGTGTTCGAGGGTTGGCGTTCTGGAGACTCAGTCGATCTGCTAGTGTTGTGCTGAGAGTAGAGCGATGGGCGGAGTTGGGAACGTAGTGGTAATGATGTTGTTGGTGGTGGTTAGGGTGTTGCAACGATGGTGTTACAAGCAGCAGTGGCCGCGACATTAGACTGTAACGACGCTTTTGGAGAGACTCTGTCGACATGCTCGTGTTGTGCTGAGAGTGCAGCGATGGCGGTGGTGTTGTTGGCAACGCAGTGGTAACGATGTGGTGGTCGGTGGTGGTTATTGAGGTGTTGGTGGTGAAACGTTGGCGCTACATGAGCAGCAGTGGTCGCGACATTAGACGTGTAATGACGCAAGGTACAGCGGCGGTGTTTAGAAGCGGTGTGGTGCCGTGGTGCGAGTATTGCCGTCAGAGGAGTTAAACGATTCTCAGTGGAACTCGGTGTTGGTGGGTCGAAGCACGGCGCGCCCTTCGCTGGCAAAAACGGGCTCGCCTCCTCACAGCGGCTGGAGGTAGTTGGCGGGCAGCATGCCCGTCTGGCCAGTCCTCTGCACTGTGCCATACATCCAACCCTCGTCAATCTGCTTCACGTTCTCGATGACGTCGCCGTCCAGGAACGACACCTCGTCGTCGTCCGCCGCCGCGTAGTCGTACACGGCACGGTACGGCCTCTGCACCCCCAACGGACACGCACGCACGCACGCACGCACGCACGCACGCACGCACCCCGGTGAGCGCGCGTCGTCACACGCGCTCGTTCAAATGACGTGAGCCACCTGCTGAATAACCACGCCGATTCTCACGGCGACGTCAACGCGCGCTACGAATCGGCGACAGATTACCGCGCCAACCCTACGAACCCTGGCGACCTGCACGTATGTACGTATGTATGCTGAACTTCTTTCGCACCGTACACAGCCAGCCATGCTCAGTGGCTAACATCAGTGGAGCGTGATATCTGAACCGGGGTGGTGAGATACGAGTGGCGGTGCTGCGGTGAGCACGCTCCACTACGAACCCAGCAATTCGAGTTAGATTCCTGGTCCTGACCTCCCCTAGGTCGACTCAGCCTAAAATGAGTACCTGGTGAGGTATGTAAAAAGATCGCCGCTGGGGAGACAAAGGCAGCCGGGCGTGGTGCTGGTCACCCACCCCCTTGTGTGCCATGCTGGCCTTCATAGGTGCTGCTCACTAACAGCACTTGTATTGATATGCATACTTGTAAATAGATATGCATGTGTGATGTGTTTTTAATGTGTACGGTACGTATGTGTGGTTGTGCATGTATATACGTGGCATATGCATGCAGATTAAACAATACATACGGGTTATACCCATATTGACTGCCGAGACACAAATGCACAAGCTGAACAGAGCTCTGTGCTTAATAAGGACCATCCGTGTGTCTGTATGTCAAGCTGTACACGTATGCGCACCTACGATCAGCACCGTTGGTTACGTACGGTGCGAAATAAATTCAACAACACATATACTGCACATGTATCAATGTCTATGCGTATACAGTGCACACACGTGTGAGCATTATTGCTGTCTTGCTCCACGCCAAATGCCATCTCCCCCCTCGCCTCGTCCTCACCCCCGCCCCCCATACTTCTCATCGCCATCCTCATCTTCATCTCGACCCGTATCTCCACCTCGTGTGCCACAGTGCCGGCCTTCATAGGTGCTACTCGCTAACAGAACTTGCCCCAACAGTCTGTTAAGGCTACGGCGGAGGGGGGATCTTTGTCTCTGCGGCTCGGTCAGGGGTTGTGCGGTGGGTGCAGCGTGGCGAGGCCGCTCTCACCGTGGCTCTGGGGGTCTGGGAGACGGGTCGCTGCTGCGAGGAGGCGGCGGAGGATACGTAGCCCTGCCCATGCTGGGGACCACCCGAGGTGTGCACTACAGAGCACGAGGACGACAACAGCAGCAGCAGCAGGAGCAGCAGTAGCAGCAGCAGGAGACCACGCAATGAGCATGTTGCGCACAGCAGCCGCCCAGCCGGGCCCAGGGGGATGGAGACGTTCACAGCGTGAACAGAAGTCAAGCGCTACGGCCATCGGACATGACGCACGCACGCACGCGTTAACCCCGCCGGCAAACGAGACGATGGCCATCGGCAAAGGGCCTCGTCGCGATTTTTAAAGTTGGTTTACTCCGTGCAGTTGATTGCGAACTGGTTTTGTGTTCCAGGTCAACCCACCCGTAATGATTGTTCAAGGAGGCTGCTCAGGTGAGTTGCGCCCTTTTGTGAATAACCATTCGTCAGTGTCCGCTCATTTGCGTGCAAGTGTCAAGAAGGTCGCCTTTGTACGCACACGTTAAGAGAAGCGTGTGTGATGATGATAGATGTGCTTATCCAGGAAAGCTTAACCGAGCCTCCAAATTGAGTATTTAAAACAAAAATTAAATACAGAAAGAGGACATTCAGAAGAAGTATACATGCGAGTTACAACACGCGGATTACAAATGGGATGCGTTAATTTTCATGCTTGAATCAATGAACTTGTTAATTGTTATTTATACCTCTCTATCGTTTCTATGTGCTGTGAATAAGGGTCAGTGCCTGAAACGTTGCCTATTGTATGCGTTTGTTTTTAAGACAGTGCTATTAAAGGATGCGTTGAGATTTTTGTATTTGTACAAAAGTTAGGAGACAGAAAAACAAGACATTTAATGTGAATCTGTGCATGCCCTATTCGTCGTTTTCGTGATTTAAACAAAAATATAAATACTTTTTTCTACCAAATATACAACAGCACCGCATGTGAATGAGCCACTGTAATTTTTGAGAAACGATTTAGTGACTTTGTCAAACATCTTACTTCATCATAAAAGTGGTTAACTTTAAACTACAAAAACACATCAGTTGCCATAAATATTGAGATGAAACAATTAAAATTAACTCGTAAATTTTTTGCCAAACAACAAATCTTATTTTCAGTTATTTTTATTTATTCATCGATTAAGGGACGCTACATTAATCATATAATACGTAAAAAAAAATAGCATTTTGTCACGTTAATTTGCCACTTAATTTCATGCAAAAACTGTGCTTCGGGAGAGAATGTGAGCAGCGAGGCCTGGAACGAAACTTTTTCAGGGAGTGAAACGACACGAAAAAGGGCGCTTCATACGCAGAGGTCAGAGAGACAGCTCAGGCATGAAGAGGCACAGGGAAGGAAGAGACGGGCGTCGGAGCAAGGAGAGGTATGAAAACAGCGGCTCCCTCGCTCGTCTTACCCGTGGGTTCTAATAAAACACGATTTGAGAGCAAGGAGGAGGAGGAGGAGTAGGCGGCAGCACCAAAGGAGAAACCAGAAAGGGCTTAGGCTGAAAACACAAGAGCGGTGGGAGAGAAAGGTGACACGGGAGGATGCAGGCAAACAAGAATAACACGGCAGATGAGACCAGACACGGGACGGAGTTGCACGACGCTGACGCAGCCCATCGGAGTTGAGTTACGGCCGCGGATAAACAAACGCGCCCCGGCCGGGACACACGCAGCACCAGGTGCAAGCGCGACGAGGGAAATTTGAGAACGCGACGTGCGGCAACGTTCGATAAATTCGCCGAACCGGACGTATATGAAAGTGTGACTCGTAACGCCAATGGCTGGGGAAACAGGAGCTGGCACCGCTGCGCTCGTAGATTTTGAGTCGGAACTGACGACACACCGGTGATTAAACTGGGCTCTCAAGTGCGGCAGCATTGTCGTCAGCTGACTGCACGCCCATAAAACACAAAATGTATTTTAAAATCTCTACATATTCGTCAATGACACCATGACCTGAAGAGAGAATACAAATATATATCCCAGGAAAAATGTTTGGGAATGGCCCTTCTTCACAGCACATATACAAAAATGTTATAAAGAAGGGTCATGGCCTGAAACATCGCCTGTGACATGTATTTTTTTTTTAAGGCAATGTTATTGATGAACGTGTGTCTAGTTCTTTTATAAGCTTCTCACCTTTTAAGGCCTTGAACGGGCTTGGCTCCTAAATGTTCCACTAAGCTGCTCAAGTTCTATATACCACTGCGAAAACTTAGATCAGCCGATTCTGGTCTACTCATCGTTCCAAAGAGGACAACATTGTGATGTTCTATGGGAGACGGAGCATTCTGCATCAAGGCTCCGCGATTGTGGAATCCTCTTCCATGGTCCATTAGGAATTCCAAGTCTGTCACTTTTTAAATTAACGTCTTAAAACTCACCACTGGCTTTCCCTGTAACTTAAGATTTAAAAAAACAATTCTGTTGTCTGATTGGATTACTCTGCAATTATTATTATTTGCTTTTATCACAGTTCTTCATTTTATTGCAATTTCAAAAGGAGTCATCGATATGATCAGCTTTCTATTTCGCTTAGATTTTATCTATATTTGTGAGTGTAGTTTTATTTTTACGGACAGCGCTTTGAGATACTTCAAAATGGAAAGCGCTTTATAAAATAGATGTTCTTGGTTCTTTCGGTAAAGTCACGTAGAAGGGAAATAATACAATAATAAAAATAAACATAATAAAATACAATTCTCACGACGTTTCGGCCACAGACCTGTTCTTCACCTGAGGACAGCTGCTTGCGTTGTGGCCGAAACCTCGTGAGAATTGTATTTTATTATGTTTGATTTTTATTATTTTATTATTTCCCTTCTACGTGACATTACCGAAAGAACCAAGAAGATGAATCCCTGCAGACACGAAAGCTTTAAATCGAAAAACGAAAAATAGATGTTATTCTTATATTTTTTTTCCACACCACCACACGTCGCCTCGCAAGCGAGCGACTCTCTGGCCGCGCAACCGCACACAGTAGGGACCATGGCATAGCGTTACCTCCGCCACCTTGGTACCCATGCTGCTGCTGCTGCTGTTGCTGCGCGTACATGCCGCCCTCGTCGGCCGAGTAGCGGGTGCTGCCGCGGCTGTAGGCGGCAGCGGCGTCGCTGCCGACCTCGTGCATGCTGCGTCGCTGTTGCTCCATGGTGACGTTGTCCGTGACGGGCGCGTAACCCTTGCCCTTGTTCTTCTCAAACTCCTCATGGTACTTGGCCTGCGTCAGCAGCAGCAGTAACACACGGCGTCACGTGATGGGAAACCGGAGTTGATCATGAAAATACAATGTTGTTGAACAAGAACGTTTCAATCGGTGAAAAATGTACCACTTTCACAAACCTTCACGGGTGTCCAGAGACATGGACACCGATACATGAATTGGAACAAAAGCTGAAGAGTACAGCAAAGAAGTGTGGGGCGACACATTCTGCGGAATTGCACCGAGAGGCAGGATGACGAACACGTGGATCAGGGAAGAAACAAGCGAGATACGTCATCGCGGGCTGTTCGGGGAAGCCAGTGGGTTGGGGGCAGGACACATCTCTCCAAAGAGTTAAAAATAATATAAAAAAATATTCCTAACACTATTTTTTATTTTACCCAATGAGACCCACGGAGCGATGTAGCTCTTTTTTCAGAAGTGACCTGGTCACAAACGATAGCTCAACGAAGTGGCTTATTATCATGTAGAATAACAGCCAAATAGTGGTAGGTTTTTACCCTTTCAACTGGTACAAAACTGACACCTTTATACAAGTGATCATGTTTGCAATAACCACAACACAAGCAGTCAAAATTCAAACAAAAAGAAACAACTCTGAAAATGATATGCACTGTCATTTTAGTTGATTGGTCCACACCCGAGACAGCTTTTTTTAGAGCCTAGTCTCCATTGGTGTTGGACCAGATGACGCCAAAAGGCGTACAACTCAAAAACAGCGCACTATCAGAGTATTGAGAGCTCGGGGTAGGCTCTAAGAAAAAGCTGTCTCGGGTGTGGACCAATCAACTTCAATGACAGTGCATATCAATATCATTATCAGAGTTGTTTCTTTTTTTTTGCATTTTGACTGCTTGTGCTGTGGTTATTGCAAACACGATCCCTTGTATAAAGGTGTCAGTTTTGTACCAGTTGAAAGGGTAAAAACCTACTACTATATTTTGCCACTGGTAAAGGAGGTCTCATAGTGCAAACAGCCAAATACTCTAAACGAATGCTTATAAAGGTGTAGGGAAGACCGGAGGAGAAAAATCCACACGACCACAGAGAGAACATGAAAACTCCAAATATACAAGGCACCACGGTCGGTATTGAACACAAGACCTCTTGTATAACAGGCGAGTTAGTTAACATCTCATTACCGTGGCGTCCCATGGCCGAGGGACGAGGCTGGTGCCCACAAGGATGTCCACCATGGAGGTGGAACAATAAAAACGCTTGCTGTGCAAGGAATGAGTTAGATCGTGGCAGTCGCAGTCCGTGCGGGAGGGTGACAGGGTGGGGGGGAGGCTTTCATCCAGCAGTGGATTTATCATGGATGCTGCTGCTGTTGATGATGATGATGGAAACATTATTTCGGTGAGTTTTTTTCGATGGCATGGGTCAAACAAGAGGGACGTGAGCCAGGCTTGGCACAGTGATGTGTGCATGTGTTTCACCCGTCTAATGCCAGTGTTGCACACAACACTGGCATTAACGCACATTTGTGAGCAAAGCAAGATGTTAAAGCTCCAAAGATAAAAAAAACTTGACAAATTCTATACTGTACACTCCAAAAGATAATTTCAATAAACAAATTATGTAATATTGTATATATATATTTATTGATGGCTATTTATCTTGGCAAAGGCTTGGCATGTGGATGAATGTGTGGCATGCAAAGCATCGAACACGTGGCAGGCTCGACTTGGCCAAATGCCAGCCTCGGGGGTGAACATAAAACACTTGGGAGCCCTCTAACAGCACACCACAGCACCTCTGGCCCATGCTCGGGCGCGCAACGCTGCTGCATCCATTCATGAACATCGACGTGGACGCTCGCCATCCGAGCTTAGAAAATGCACGCGCAAGGCATCGATGATTTGGCAATTCATATGCACTGCGTGTAATGGGTTCACGCGACTCCCCGCGAGCCACTAGTGGGCGCTATCTCCACCATGGCGCTTCGCTAACATTGCATGAATCTCGATTTAAAGCTTTCGTGACTGCAGGGATTCATCTTCTTGGTTCTTTCGGTAAAGTCACGTAGAAGGGAAGTAATGAAATAATAAAAATAAAACATAATAAAACAATTCTCACGACGTTTCGGCCACAATGCAAGCAGCCGTCCTACTACTCATGCCTGTGCATTAGTAGTACTAATCACATACTTGCATTTCCCATAAATATGCTAAATGCCTCTTGATATGCATATTCTTTTGTCAAGGCGCCCTTTTCCCCCCTTCCAACCCAGCTTATATATATGCTCCAAGCACGTGTGCTGTTTCATTCAGACGCTGTCGCCTCGACAGACCTGGTTTTCACCTGAGGACGGCTGCTTGCGTTGTGGCCGAAACGTCATGAGAATTGTTTTATTATGTTTTATTTTTATTATTTTATTACTTCCCTTCTACGTGACTTTACCGAAAGAACCAAGAAGATTGCATGAATCGATGGTTTAGCGTTCGCGCGAGCATGATGAGCGAACGTAAAATATATGTTAATGGAGTGAAAAATAAAAGACACTCCAAAAGTAAAAACGCAGACGAGAGAATTGATTCTTGTGTCGAATCGAGACAAATCATCAATCCCCTGGATGGGAGGGGGGTGCATCAATACACATCTGCTCACACATACACAGACACACTAAATATAACGGCATACCAACATTCGCACACGTGCACGAAAACACACACAGGTGCGCGCACACACAAACACACGTCCATGCCGACATTCACGCATACGAAACACACATGTGCGTGGGCAGTGACAAACAAGCTCACGGATGCACGAACAAAAGCAGGTGAACACGATTCTCTTTCATCACCAGGTGAGCCGACTTTCGCACGCGCACTCACAAGTGCAAAAATTCTGCCCAAAAACGTGCGTCACGCGCACAAACGTGCACACACACACACACACGTGCACACATGCCAAAGCATGTGCCGCCACACATGACTATTAAAGTGAGACGCAGGTGATATACATTTGTTTCTAATGTGTAACTTTCCTGTACTCGCTTGAAAAGGGAACAAAAAAATACATCTCGATGGGCTCTCACCTGGTTCTCAACAAAGGAGTTATTCAGACCACAAGGCCACACATACAGCTGCGCTGCTGCAGTCGCAACACGTGCAGCCGCAAATGTGCAGCTGCACACGTACAGGTACACGCATACAACTACACACAAAAGACAAAGACCCCCTGTATAGCCTTAAAAATACTGTTGGGGTAAGTGCTGTTAGCAAGTACCTATTAAGGCCTGAACAGCACACGAGGGGGTGGGTGGCCAACACCACGTCTCCCCCTAGTGGCGACGTTTACACGCCATACCAGGTACTCATTTGAGGCTGAGTCGACCTAGAGGATGCCCAGGACCGGTTCAGATAAGCGTCACTGGTGTTAGCCGTGAGCCGGAATCGAACTCGGTTCGCCGGGTTCGTAGCGCAGCGCGTTAACACTACACCACCGCTCCCCACACGACTACACCCACTTATAGACTTACAAATGTATACAGGTAAACAAAGACACAATTGCATATACAGCTACCCAACACTTGTATACAAAGACCCAAAGATCCCCCGTATTATGGGATGAAACCGGAGAACCCAGAGAGTCACCCATGTGGATAAAACAGGGGTAAGAACACAAAAATGCCACTCAGAAAGATGCCCGAGTAGGAAATCGAACCCAGGCTCTTCTTGATGCGAGGCATGAGTGTCACCATTGGGCCACATGGGCTGTTGGGGCCAGCATCAGGCCCTACAGAGATATACAGACAGCTGCTGCTCTACTTACACAGACACACACACATAATTACTGGACACACAGCAAGCCAAATGCTCGTTTACACAAGCACAGCTATACATACGAAAGGTACATAGTTAAAAATGTAAGCTTTCGCGACCAATATCCTCCATAATACAGGTTTTTGTTGGGTTAGATCGCGTAAATATAATTGTGTCGATTGTAAACGATGTGGATTTTCTCTCCAACACACCGGTGTGCTGTACTAGTAACAAAGTGTCGGGTGGTGGCAGGTTTAACGACACATTTATATTTACACGACCTAACCCAAAAAACCTGTATTATGGAAGGTATATATAGCTACAAGGGTGGGCACAGCGATACTTGCATTCGGCTACACACAGCTACGCATATGGATACAAAGACCTGCAAAGCTACTCGCATTTGTAGAAACAAGGCGATACAAAGTTACACAAATAAACGCGTGCAAGACACAATTTTATACACGCAGATACACACAACGATATGTACACAACTACAGATGCACATAACTACACACAGGCTTGCACACAAAGGGTCATGCACGTGTAGCAATGCAATCAACTGTCACGATTCCATTCAAGAATCTCTCACTTTTGTCTCGGTTTAAGTTTCATTTGCTCAGTTTCATTTGCCCCATTCGCCTAAAACACAGCTGACAATTTACTTCAATCACAAATACCAGATTCCGACATTCATGATTCGGTGGACGTATCGCGAGCCTAATAACTGACCGCAATCGCAAAAAGCAACACACGCAATCACATCCAAGTCCACGGTGCACCCGCCCTCCCGTTGCAACGGCACTCAACGCCCCCGTGCACAGTGACCCCGCCGTGCGGCCTTCGTCGGCTGCGTGGGAAGGTACCATTAGCGAGCGACTGTGAAGGTCGGCAGGGCACAATAGAGGGCAGTGCCGCCAGCACCACGCCCGGCTACTTTTGTCTCGCTCGTGCTGGATTTTTACACACCGCACCAGGTAACTCTTTCAGGGCACAGTCGACCTAGAGGAGGCCCAGGATCGGTTCAGATATTCGCCACTGATGTTGGGCATGGAAGGAATTCGAACTCAAGTCGCTGGGAGCTGTATGCAGTAAGCACCAAAGACAAACAGCTCCCGTATAGCCTGTACAGACTGTTGGGGCAAGTGCTGTTAGCGAGTAGCACCTATGAAGGCCGGTACGGCACACGAGCGGGTGGATGGCCAGCAACACGCCCGGCCGCGTTTGTCTCCCCACTGCTGATGTTTACACACCGCACCGGGTACTCATTTGAGGCCACGTCGACCTAGGGGACGCCCAGGACCGGTTCATACATTCGTCACTGGTGTTGGCCGTAGCAGAAATTGAACTCAGACACTTGATCACGCACACACACACAACAACCGGCATTGACCAGTCATCGGCGGTGACGTCACCACAGAGTTTGGTGCACTTTGGGGCCATGCGACGTGTCGAGGGCTCGCCGACAGGTCACAGAAGCAACCCAGCCAGGATGGGTTAACTGCCCGAGACGACCGACACCCTTCCCGCGCTCCCCACCCTGCGCGCACGGGCGGCACAGATGGCGCGCGCGCGTGTAACGTACATCGCTGATCTGGTCCTGTGCCTTGCGGATGCGCATCATCTCTGGCGTGTCCGACACTTGGCTGCAGGCCCTGCCCTTGGCCTTCTCAAACTCCTCCTTGTACTTGACCTGAGACAAAGAGAGAGGACGGTGCAACAAGACGTCAGCGTTCCGTGTGTGTGCGTGCATGCGCACATGCGCGTGTGTCCCTGTGTGTGCGTGTCCGTGGCTGTGCGTGCGTGCGTCCGTGTGTGCGTGTGTGGGAAGCGGTGGAGGGATGGCGTAATTAAACAAACTAGAAATGTGCCCATGAAAACAACAGATAATATGGAACATCACTGCAATGGACATGGATATACAGTTTATTAAAAATACGCCGCTTATAAAGAAAATGGCCAAACATCCACATGCAGCATGCTCCTATAAATAGTCACTAAGACTCAGTGCGGCAGGATACAAAAATGTTAGTGTGATAAAATAAGTGGGGACAGTGGTTGTGCAGTGGTTGGCACACTGCGCTACGAACTCGGCGACCCGGGTTCGATTTCCGGCCACAGCTCACATCAGCGGCGACTGATAATCAGAACCGGTCCTCGATCGATCGACTCGGCCTCAAATGAGTATCTGATGCAGATTAAACATCTGTACTGGGGAGACAAAGGTAGCCGCATGTAGCTCTGGCCACACCCATGCTCTTGTGCAGCTGGTGTCCATCAACAGCACTTGCCTCAACAATCTATGTCGGCCACAAGGGGTTGTTTGTTTGTTGTTGTGAGTGTGTGGGCCATTGACCAATCACCCAGAATGCACCAGATCTCGTGAGCTGTTGGGCTACGTTGTTAGCAGAGAACAGTGCAGAAAAGTTCCTGGTTGTAATGTACTAAAAAAGTGAAAGGCCCACCGAGCTATATCGCTCTTTTTCAGACGCGACCTGGCCATCACAAATGATAGCTCAACAAAGTGCCTTATCATGTGGACATTTATAGTAGGCAAATACTCTAAGGGCATGTTTCTAAATGTGGAGGGAAAAACCGAAGAAAAACACACGCAACCACGGGGAGAAAGACATGCAAACTTCAAATATACAGGCGTCAGGGTCAGGGGATCGAACCCACGACCTCCTGCGTACCAGGCGAAGAAGTTAACATCTCGCCACGGTGGCGCTGAACACGCGTGTGCATGCGTGGTGCGCGTGGGTAGGTGTGCGGTGAGTGTGCGCGCACCTGACTCTGCAGCTCGCTCTGCTGCTTGAGGCGCAGGTTCTCTGGCGTGTCGGCCACGGAGGTGAACGACTGCTTAGGGTAGTGCCTGCACAAGAGAGGAGACGAGACCGGCGGTGGAACACAGCAGCGACAGCAGCAGCAGGAGGTTTGTGGGGTGAGAGTGGCTGGCAGCAATAACCAGGCGTGGCAGACCAACACAAACACCCCAAAACTCACGCAACTTACACTTTTAAACTGCCGTCATCTTCATCATCATACCCATAATTAACCAAGTAATCGCACTGCCTAGGGCTGGAAGATGAGCCTCCCTCTTCGGAATGAAAAAGGCAGAAGGGGCAAGAGACAAAGACGGAAATGGTGGTGGCAGGTTTGGAGCCAGCTCATCAGGGGGCACGCTGAGAGAGATTATCATCATAATCAGCCCTGGTCTAGCCACTGCTGGGTGAAGGCGCACTCTCGAAGTTGAAGCGCTGATGAACGTTGACCGTCGACCTCCCGACCTGGAGCCGACACCGACGGATGGCCGGACGACGGATGGAGGAGTGGAGCGCAAGTTTTAAGTGACCGAGATCCCAATCGGCTGAGCACAGCATGCCTCATATCTAGCAATCTGATCCTAAGGGACAGTTGCTGAAATATATATGTGTGTACGTGACACGTGCACAGAGGTAACGTATTATTGCAATGTCACGGCTTACGCAGGGAGTGTATACAAGGGAGGGTAGAGCAGCGGTGTGTGTGTAGTGGTTGGACCACGAGCTCGAATAAGAAAGAGGAACACAGATCAGGGGGAAGTGAATGCAAATTTGGAGACGTCACATTGACGACCCAGGAAATCAAACGAGCCAAGGCAGAAACTTCACTAAGAGATGTGATGGACGATGGACAAGACTGGTCATGGAATGGGCACCCAAAGGAGGGGATGGACTGCTGCCGAGATGGAGCGAAGAGATCGGCTTTAGAAAGAGCTGCATCGTGACATCGCAGGAACGTGAGGAACGGCGGCAGCCTTAATCCAGCAGTGGGTAGATCAGGGACGATCGTGATAACGACGTGCTGCTTCACCGCTGCATATTTATTTGAATCATCATGAATCAAGGTTGCAGATAAATACAATTATCTATTTTTTTGGTATGTATCGTTCATGCCATTAGTCAAAACAATTATGTATTATTTGCATGAATTATAAATAACAAATTCTTGAACACAAGTGTCAATCTATGCACGGTAAGGGCAAGAACCGATTCTAATTGGCGAGTCGTTAAGGTTGTTCGATATTATACCCACACATACGAGTATGTGGTAGTGGTGTTAGGAAATGTCCTTGCAAAGCATTGTCGGTGTACTGAGCTGGGCTCCGAACCTATGAACTTTGTTCCCTGAAGTGACAGCGTGCAGACAACTGAAGGCCGGCAGCCAGCCACCTTTAAAAAATTTACAATGCGAATGACCCCCAAGCCCAAAGGTCGATGTTAAGGACAACGGCGCTTAAATGAACACAACTTGCTGGACCCTGTTAATATTAAATAGGGTGAAGAAAAAAAAAACACAAGCCGAGGTTTCATGAGTGAACTTGGTAAACATTCCTGCACCCTGTACATGTGTGTGTGCGAATGCCTATGCCCCACGCATGTATATTTAAACCCAGGGACCTGGGTTCGATTCCTGCTCATGGCCAACACCAATAACGATCATTAGAACTGGTCCTGGGCCCCCCCTAAGTCGACTCAGCATCAAATGAGTACCTGGTGTGGAGTGTAAACATCGCCACTGGGGAGACAAAATGCGGCCGGCTGCGGTTCTGGCCACCCACCCCGTGGCCTTCATAGGTGCTCACTAACAGCACTTTCCACAACATTCTGTTAAGGCTATACAGGGGATCTTTGTCTTTGTGCGCGATTGGGTGGGTGTGTGCGCACGTGTGTATGTGTGCGTGCGCACCCGTGCTAGTGTGTATACGTAGGCACGCACGTGAGTGCATGTGTTTGTATTGGGCAGATGTGTGTGTGTGAATGTGCGCACCCATGCATGTGTGTGCGAGTGCACGTGCGTGGGTGTAGGCGTGCACACGCGTACACACACGGACGTGTGGGGGTGTGCGTGCTGTGTCCACACACACTTGTGCAAGCGCACACTTGTGCAAGCGCACGTCACTGCAAAGGCCTTACATGTTACAGTAAGGCCTCTTGTCGTAGCCCTTGTAGTTTTTCATGTTGAGGGCCATCTTGCAGACTTCACAGTGGAAGCAAGCCTTGTGCCAGACCTGTGGACGGCAAGGAAGGGGGGGGGGGGGGGGAGAAGGGCTCAATCAGCCGTTGAGACAGCAACACAGAGCGCTTACTTGAGGCAAGGTAGAGTCGGGGTCACCCTCCTGAGATCACACGTAATAACCTTGGTTGTCTTTTCCTCTATACCAATTGCAGTACATACAAATTGTGCTGTCGGCATGAGGTCACGGCATGCACACGTTTTATTTTCATTCAGACCTCTGCAGGTAGCAGTGCATAACCGCGTGCTAGAGAGTGGTCATGGCCAGGGATGGGAAACCAAAATAACGAGACATTTTTTTTAGAATTCGGCAAAAAAAATCAATATTGCAAGAGCTGCAATGCACTGTGGTGGTGAATTCGAGACGGTGAGTCCTTAATAAACAACGTCACGAAGTTGTCACTTAAAGAGCCGTGTGCGGCTCCGAAGCCCGCAGCTTGCCGACTCCTGGTCATGGCAGATGAGGTCACTGAGGGACACAGGTGTGTATGGCATGCAAAGATTGGCCACAGCATGTCAATCCAAGCAAAACATCACTAAATCACAGAAGTAGCATTTATCTAAATTAAGTGCCAAATCTAAAATAATTTAAAAAAATATGATGGGTTCGTTTGTTGCGGGCTGAAACCACAAACTTGCTACGCTGGAGAACTCCGGTTAATCACGAGTGGCTGAACCTGGATTCGAACCGATGTGCTCAGCGGTTGCCAGCCCGCCGCTCTGACCTCTGAGCCACATCGAAAAAAACCCGACGACATGGCGTCACACAAAATAGATTTCACCGAAAACAAATTCATCGGACCCAAACCACGGAATCAGAATCTGTGTTTACTCTGGACAAATCTGACAAGCTATGAAGCTCTTTTTCACAGAACGCTGAATCAGAGCTGAGAAGGGGCTCGGTGGAGTTGCGTCGCAGCGATCACACGCTCTCCGAGCAAAAACACGATCGGCACGGCAAGTGGATCGCCCCAGCTGGGGCTACGTTACAGTCGGTCATTGGTCCAGAGGAGAAGGTGCCCTCTCAGTGAGGCAATGGCAACACAGAGACACAGAACAAACAGCAGCTGGCACCCTTTGAGAAATCCAGCCAGAACTGGAGCTCTCTCCAGCGTGCCGAAGCCTCTCACCGCAAACGCGGCGGGTTTCGTGCAATGAAGAAATATAAACCACGTTTTTGTTAGAGGAATGAGACAAATCCAAACAGTGGTGTGAAGGGCCGTCCATAAATGACGTCACGCACCTGGGGGGGGGGGGGGGGTCAGACATTTGTGACGATGTGTGACAGGGGGGGGGGGTTTGAGAAATGTGACGTCACATCAAAATGTGCAACTTGAAATAAATATAGACATGTTCTACTTAATTAAATAGACTTTTTAATAAATGTTTTCTCCTACAACATCAGAGTGCAGCAGCGCCACATCAAATACGAACTACAATGACAATAGTTTAGCGCGATTTGAAGCATGTTTTAATTTTCAAAAAGAAAATATGTTTTTTTGGGGGGGGGGGCAAAGCTTTGTGACGTTATATTTGAGGGGGGGGGGGTCTGACTTTGCGTGACGTCGTGTGACGAGGGGGGGGGGTCAAATATCGTCCAAAACCGCGTGACGTCATTTATAAATGGCCCCTTAGCACTGTTGGCATGGACCCTGTCGCAAAGGACTAAATGATGCCCCCCGTCCCATTTCCACCCTCTCTTCGTAGCTCGTGTGCCGAGGTGCTGGTGCAGTTGCACCACCTGCACACTCGGTAGCTATGTCACAAATTCAATGTCGCCCCCGCCCCCCTACCGGCCCCCACCGCCCCAACCAGATCCCACCATTCAGCGATGCGATGAAATGTCACCAGACAGCCGACAATTCAACTCAGGAGTTGATTATTTTAGTTTTTAACCATTGCGGTGAATGGTAGCGACTGTAGTGGTTATGGAGGTTACGTAAAATCTATTGCATACAACACGCAGAGGATACGATATTGAAACATATCGACGCTTGCGCACACACAGACACACACGATAAAATGCCGAAGAATCGATATCAATTGATGAATTGATTCCCTGTTTCACTCCGAGCGTGTTGTAATTTATATCACATGTGCACTATTGGCAGCTAGACCGAAAGCAAAAACACGTCTCACTCTGCCATGGCCACCGACAACAAGCAGAGGCGCCTGTCGCTAGGCAATTTGCAATCAAAACAATGTGGATTTATACAGCGCCTCACGCTAGCACATCTACAGACACTGGGTAGATACAGTGGCCATGTGTATCTTGAAGGGAGCGCTGCTCATTTCCAGGCAGAGGTAAAATAAACTCCTTAAAAAAAGTATTTTTGTTTTAAACAACGGTTTTATTTGCAACTTCGTTTAACTCACGGCCGACAAGTACGTCAATGATGCGGCACCTGCTCCCACATCAACGCTTACTTGAATTAATTGATCACTTTATAAATGAATCTTCAACGTACAACTTTTGTTTGTGTGGGGTGACGGTGGCCATAACTCGTTGACACGGAGCATGCGCGCCTGAGACACGCGGCGCCTGCTTCTTGGGCGAGGCAATTCCACAGTTTAGGGACCGGGAAAAAAATATATAAATAATAAGGCATCCATACAAAATGTAAATTGCTTTAAAGTAGCGAATTAGTTGATTAACTTATTTTGATACAGGCATGCATTGTCACCGGATCTGAGTACGTGTGAAAAATTTGGACTTGATTGGACAACGGAAAGTGGACAAAATGCAGATTACAAGCTTTGACCACGACACAGGAATCAAGTTAAGTGAAACCGTTGATTCAAGTTCAGTAATACCGTTGATTAAAGTTAAGTAAAACCGTTGATTCAAGTTCAGTAATACCGTTGATTCAAGTTCAGTAAAACCGTTGATTCAAGTTCAGTAAAACCGTTGATTCAAGTTAAGTAAAACCGTTGATTCAAGTTCAGTAAAACCGTTGATTCAAGTTAAGTAAAACCGTTGATTCAAGTTCAGTAAAACCGTTGAATCAAGTTCAGTAAAACCGTTGAATCAAGTTCAGTGAAACCGTTGAATCAAGTTCAGTAAAACCGTTGAATCAAGTTCAGTAAAACCGTTGAATCAAGTTCAGTAAAACCGTTGAATCAAGTTCAGTAAAACCGTTGATTCAAGTTCAGTAAAACCGCTGAATCAAGTTAAGTAAAACCGTTGAGCCCGAGCTTGAACAGGGGAAGGGGAATTAACGACACAGGTGGTAGAGGTAGGGGAGAAGGGAGTTCGAGACGGTGGATACAATGAGCGACCTCCCACTCAGAGGAGATTGACAGGGAGCTTCAAAAAAAGGCCTTTATTGCTGAAGCGGAGAGTGCGTAGAGGGTGTAGAGTGAGAGCGGAGGGGTAGGAAACTGCAAAGAGGAGGGTGGAGTGAGATCAGAGGGGTGAGACGTAGGAACGTGCGTGAAGGGGAGTAGAGCGAGATGGTTGTTTGATCTTCGATAACCCCGCTGGGTCAGTGCAAACCCGGCTACCTGAAATCGGATCCTGGGGACGGCTAACATTAGTGGCGAGTGATATTTTCACCAACATGAGCATACAATTTGCATAAACCACAATCAACAGACAGCGTGCACGATGGGATACATGCATCGCGAACGTGAGAACCGCTTTTAATCCACCAAACCAATGCGGAATAAAATGCCTTAATTAGGACACACACATCCCGACGCGTTTGGGTCTGGTTTAACATAAGAAGGAGGGAACACTGGAGTAGAATACCCCCCAACCCCCGCTCCCCAGCAGTGCTGAACGCAGCAGTGGCTCTCTCCCGAGACAACGGGCGCAGTAAAACACTCCCCCAGAAGCGGTGACGACGACCACCACCCCACCACTCCTCCCCTTCTCTCCGCTGGACCCACGGCCTCCTCTCCACCACCATTTTTGGGCAATGGCTCGTGGGGCTCCATAGCCACAAGAGCACAGGGGCAGCGGCGGCGGTGGGCGGTGGGCGGGGGGGGGGGGACAAGGGAATCGCTGTGAGGGCTTTGGCCGTGACACCTCCGTGCCAAACCTCACATCCGCAACCTCGCTCAGGGGGAGGCAGGGATGGGGGGGGGGGCTCGTGACGTAAGCCGCAGCCGACACCCAAGTGCCACGCTCTTGTACGCCGTGTTCACACGGGACGGCAACAAAGCGGAGTCGAGCCAAGGGCCAGCGCGGTGAGCCTTGGCCAGAGACGGATGGCCGGGGGTTCCTCGGCAACGGAGAAAGTATCGTCGTGGACGTAGATTCGCGAGGCCAAGGTGGATTGGACGCTGCTCGTTATTGTGGCCGTGGTCGTTCCGTGGGAGAGGGACCTCCTGATTTAACACCATAAATGGGGGAAGAGCAGCAAATGCACTGATGGTGATTTTTGTTTATAATTCTAAAACCTTGGATTTGCGAGCATAATTCGTTCCGGAAACGTGTTTGTAATCTAGAGCACTCGTGTATCAGTTGTGATCACGTGACGCTCGGCAGACAAAGCGTGTACTACTCGTATTGCAAGACCTCGAAAATCTAGAATTAAGACCTCGCTCGTTTATCAAATTAATATTTATTTAAAAAATTTGCTCGTCTTGCAAAACACTCGCAGACCAAGTTACTCGCAATCCAAGGTTTTACTGATATTCTGGAAACGGTAGCATTATTTGCATTTCATCCAAAAATTGTTATTGGACTTTGTCTAATTACAATCGCCTTCCAAATCACACTTACAAAGAAGTACTCTAAATTAATCTAGTCATCAATGTAATCACCATGCAAACCTCCAAATACAAATTATCCTGGGTATAATACTGGTTCAAAAACCAATAACATTTTAGATACCTGAGGTCAGGGGGTCTGGAATCGAACTCAGGTGGCCAAGTCGCATAGACTTACATGCAACTCACATTTACACCAGCGCAGTAAGACAAAGCCTCACCACAACTGGCAGCCCTCTGCTGCCCGCACCTGACCAAAATGATCTCGAAATGTAGGAG